TTCGTTTACTCTCTTTAAGTCAGGTGTCACCCCTCGTTCTGGTTTTTAGTCTGATTCTTTTTGTTTCTATTGTGTAATAAAAGTATTTGAATAAACATATAATTTTAGGAGTTATTTACACTTGTTCCTGGTTGCACAACGTCCTTTTTATCGCTATAGAAGTAACATCCTTTGTGAACGTTACAGTTGGTCGCAAAACTCCTCATTATATACCTACCAGTTTTGAGATTAAGTTATAATGTATCAAAGTTTAAACAAATAACTAAATTAAGTGAAGTTATAATTACCCTTTCTAATACTACACGATAAACAGTAAAAATGCTTTGATTAAATGCGTTTTCATATATACAGATAAAGAAATAAAGAAAAAAGTCGGAACCAGCTACTTTCATTGACCTTTGGTTTATTATAGTAACTAATAAAAATTTAAATATTTACAACCCTTAATAGCTAATATTTTTAATTAATTATTTCATATTAATTAAATGCTTAAATATATTTTCTTTCACTTTATAAATTTCATACGTTTGCGATTCTTAAAGGCTGTACCTCCAGGTTAAAGGGGACTGCTGTAGATAGAATAACGTAAAGAGTTTGATAAGCAGCCCACAGAGCAAAATCGATAAAAAAGAGACTAGAGTGGAGAGAAACTGTGAAAGTCCAAAAAAAGTTTTAGTATTGAATTAAAGCGGAAAGAATTAAGAGATTATTGTTAATCTTATTAAGACTAATAATTTAAAATTCAAAAACCAACTAATTTTCAATTACTATTTATAAATAGTTGTAAAATTAGTAAGTAGTTATACCACGTCAGCAGAATAAAATAATATCTAAAATAGGTACAAAAATTATAAGAGATAATAATCAAAGTCCACCATAATAAAATAATAATAAAAGTTTATTAAAAAATTGAATAATTAGAGTAGAAGTTATTCATAAAAATAATAAATAAAATAATTTATATATATTTTTATGACAAATTAAAGTTTATTTAATAAAAGTTTAATAATTTTTTTTTTAAAAAAAAGTAATTAGCTTTAAAATTAAAGAAATGACAGTTAAGTAGAGAACGATAGTTTATGAAGTTAAGTCCCTTAGAAACTTCTATTAAAAGATAAACTTCACCCAGCTTTAGCTTAATGAAACGAAAATTCTTTCATATACCTAACAAAACGATATGTCTGGATTGGAAACAAAAGTTGTAATAAAAGGAAATTTCTAGAGATGCTAACGTTGAAAATTTTTTTTTGCGTTCGGTATAACACAGTTCGCTACTTATTGTGTTATACACAGGAACTTTATTATAATTTTTTGTAGCTTATGACCTTCAAATCTACTTTTGTAGTGCAGGTATACTAGTAAACTGCGCATTATTTTTATTCTTTAAAAAAACAATTCTGTCTATCATCAATATATACTTCAAATCGCGTCCTGAGAATGGTGGTGGACGCCCCTTTGTTTGTGCGCAATAGTTAACTATAAAGAGTGTAACCTCAAGCCTATTAAAGAATAACTATAAAATTTTACGGAACTGGTTTAATAGAGCTAGTAGTCCCTACAACATACTTATTAAGCAGGCTCATGACTATGACTCTCATTGGTACACCAAGTACTCGGGACCAGAACAATTCTTAGATCTATTAGAGGGGAAATATGGCTAAAATTATGGTTTATTTTATTTGCTTATTAATGTATACATTTAAAAAATATAATGGTTTTGAAACTTAACTATCCATTAAAGTGAGATTGTTTTGACTCTGCTGTTACATTGTTATTAATTTATACTATTTGTGTTGATAAGTGCATTCGTTTTTTCCCGTTGATGTCGTAATGAATTGTTAAGGAAGTTGTGGCTTCCGCACCCTTTTTAATAGAGAAGTAGATTAAGCAGCAATTGATTATAACTCATGCCTATAGTAAGCTAGTGCTTAAAATGAAAAAAATAAAATTCTATTGATCATCAAAAAACCTTATATTATATATCATTTTTGTTTATGAGATATAAAGTTAAATAATAATTATATCATATTCCAATTTCGTCTATATTTGTATTATGGTTCTTCTATGAACAATACTTTACAAACATTGATAACCACAAGTTAAATTGAAATCCTCTTCCTTCGTTTGTCAGTCAGATTTTACCAAAAAAAAATTAAAACTTAAATTTAAAATTCTTTAGACATTAAAAAATTATATATATAATTTTAAAAACATAATCTGGAAAAGCAATTGAAATTAACACCTAAATTCACCTCGAATACACACTTCTGAATTTACTTCATATTTTTACAAAAATTAGAGTTTAATGGTATACCTTAACCTTTAAAAGTTGGGGCCCCCCCTGAACAGCTACTAAGTAAAAATCCACCTAATAACAATAATAAAAACTTACCTTCCTTGGAATAAGACCACAAATAATATCAAAGTGTGACAAATGAACTTTTACTTAATTTCTCGCTGTTGCTCATACCGTGGCAGAAGAAAACTTAATACTACATCATTTTTTATGTTTCATAACTTTTTTAGATTTACAAGTTTTTAGAACTTTTAATTCACTTTACCTATAAAGAAGGAGTAAAGGAATATAATTATAAATAGCTGTTACTTAAGTACAAGCTTTTTACTCACATCTAGTGTCTATATTTTGTTCCATTTTTATACTCTAATAAGGCTTTGTTCATTATAATACTTTAAGCTCAATTATTAACTAATATATTACTTTTTTAGTGCCACTTAAAATCTTTACAGCAATGAAGTATATTTCAGTTTGCTTAAAGTTTTTGTTATCCTAATTTCCGAAAAAATAGTAACCATAAAGCATAAGTATTATTGAAGTGACATAGCGTAGAAATAATGGTTTCTCAGTAATAACTCGTTTACATTTGTTGGTATAGTAAATAAAGTTATTCACTACTTAAATAAATTACGTTGTGCCCAACATTATAAACCTCAATTTAGGTAACAAACTTTTAAACTAAGCAATTGGCAAATCCATTTTTTAGATAACTGTATTGGGATGTGAAAAAAATTAATTCTTATATATGGAAACTTATTTAAATATTCTTTTTACTGAACTCTTAATATGTCTACAAATTTTATAAATTCCAAGAGTGAATATGTTAAATGTATATTTGCATACTGACCATTATAAATAGTAAATACCTCATATTTAAATCGTTAATACAGATTCACCTAAAATCTAAAACTTAAAATTATGAAATTAATATTATCATTTTTTTTACTTTTTATCATTAAAAGTCTAAATGCTAAGGCTTACAGTAAAGTAAATCGCGAGCTGGGAATAAAATATAATGGTAGTAACAAACATATCGCAATAACTTCATATAAATTACTATTTGTATCATAGAAGAGTAATTATTATAATTACTTTTTTTCTCTCTTTCAAAGTATTTCCTGAAGACTTCTAGAAAAAAAAATTATATTCAAGAATTAAATATATAGATTTTATATAATATATATCTGGGCTAAGAAATGTAAAAGTTTTACGGCTTGTTTTTTAGTAATAATATATTATTTAAAGAATTTGAAAAAAGTTTTCGGAGACTTCAAGCAGCGAGATACTACCAAGCAGATCCTCCAACTATAGAGCATATTGATAACGGTTGCACCGCCGTTATACTCAAGTTTATGAACATAATTAATATATAATTTACAGATGAAACAAATGACTTGGACGAAGAGACCTTTCAAAGTACTACTAACGCAGAGAATGGTTATTAAAATTAAAAAAATATATAAATATTTATTATCTGTTTATCTAATTTTTAAAAGTTAAATTTTAAAATTTATTTATTTTGTTGTTTATTTGTAGTAGGAGAGTCTGAGATAGAATTTAACGACTTGCTAATGAAAAACAAAAATACTCAAGAAAATTGTATGTTTATTACTTTTTATTATAACTATCTATTTATAGTTTTAGCCTCAATTTATATGGCTCTCTGTAACTTTTACTAATTTTTTAAAAATATTAAATAGTGTGACAAAATTTATTATCGAGTAAATTAAAATTATCTGTCATCTTTGACACCAATGTAATAAATGCTTTATATTTCAATTCTTAACAAAAAGTATATAAACTTGTTAAGTGAAAGCTATTTTAGTAACAATTATTCAAAGGAAATTATAAATAAAAGTTTAATGGAGAATGCCGCCTTTATTTCGGCAAGCCTCTAGAGTTGGTTTATCAGCGCGTGCCCTACAAAAACGGAAGTTTAACGAATAACTAAAAGTAGTGAAGTTTATGAAAGCTACTGAAAGGATTGCTACAGAAAAGATTTTATTTATTTTAGAAGTAGCGATTTTATATTTAGCTTACCTTTACATAAACGCCTGATAAAGCCAATGTATACTTTCAATCTAATCCAAAATTTTTATTATTATTAAACGCTGCATATTCTATTGCTTATAATAATAAAACATAACAGATTACTTTTTATAACTATCCTTTAGACTTTTATATTGCTATAACATACTCTTTTATAAAAAAGTTGAACTTCGCTTAAAAACTTTGCTAATTGCCAAGAATAAGAATGAAGTTACATTACCTCGCCTTTATTTACAAGGTTAGTTAGTACCACGAGATTAAAATTTAAAAAAAATGATGTAAAATACAAAAATAAGGTGTGAGTACTGATTTTGATATCGCTGAAAATTTTTCTACGTATTCAAAATCTTCTTTTAGGTTATAATTAGCCTGAATTTGATAAACTATTAGCTTAATAATGGTTTATTATATAACGTACTCAAGTTCAATAGTTATATCCAATTCTTATAATTTGTCTTTGGACGAGTGGAAGGAAATTAGAAATTATTGCGATAAATATAATATAAGACTTGTTGTTTTAAACTCGGAACCATCGCTTTTAGGAGGTTTAATATATTCCAAACATTATTCATCCTACACATTTATGAACATTTTAGTAAATTATATTGAAATTAATGGCGATCAGGAGAAAACAATGCTTTCTTTTACTCCTCAAGCGAAGGAAAAAGGCATAAATATTTTCAAATATAAATTTTGTAAAAATTTAAATTTTTTTAATATTTTTTAAAGAGCTTCAAGGAATTATGTGCGAGCAATGCACCTGGAGTATGAATGGAATTAATCCGTAAGCCTAAAACAAATTCTGAATATTAAAATATTTGTTAATAATACTTTTATTTTCTTATAAAAAGTATTAGAGCGGTTAAAGGAGACAACCTCGAAGATTTCTTGCCTTTGCTGGAAGTCAAATCTCCAAATACTAATGGTTATTAATAATTAAAATACAAAAATCTTTTACAATTTAGATGATTTTTTTAATTAAATATTTGTGTAACAGGCGTGGTCGCAGCAATATTTAAAAAAGGGAATCACGAAGAAATGCATTTCTTTTTTAACACGTTATTGCTTGAAGTTGAAAATGACTTTGGTCCTTTTTCTATATATAAATTAATTTCTTTTTAATTTATTCATTTTTTTTCAATTTGACGAAATTCACAGGTACTTTAAATTTTGTACAACGTTACGAATACACTAAATTAAATCTTGCACTTGGCAATCTTTGGTTTGAGTGGGTAACAAAAGGTAAATTCTTTTAGTCTACTGAAGGATTTTTAGAAAATTAATTTTTTAAATATAATATAGGGATTTACTTGGGAAAAAGGAGAATTTTTCTTTGCATCCATATCGATGATTTGTAATTATCTAAAATTAATTTTGCTAATATTTTATAAACGATATCAACTTTACTTTTTTCATAAATTAATCTTTTTCAAAGATTTTATAATCCGACTGGGGTTTAGTTATAATTTATATTTTATAAAAATGATTATAATTTTCATTCCGAATTTTTAATGGTAATTTTAATAGGTAAATAAATAATTTTGATGATTAGCATTTACTAACTAATTAATAAATAATATTTTTTCATAAGCGGTATAAAGTTCACTTGTAACAAGATATTTTTAATTTAATTATTTCTATTATAATAATTCGAGTGGTATTTAATTTTGATTATTTTTTTATTAAATTGATTAATTATTATTTTTTATAAAAGTGGCAATTTTTATAAGCCTCCAAAGAATTTAACGATTATAACGATTTTTTCGTTTATAATTATTATTATAAAATTTTTTTAAAGGGGAAATTTTGTCTAAAAATTATTGATAAATTTATTTATTATACTTCATAGTTTTTTTTCTAAAGTGCAGTAAATTATAATTTTATTAATTATATTTTTCTTAAAATGCTTTAAAGATTAAATTTATAATTTATAATTTTTACTCTAAAACGTTCTAGAACGTGCCGTAAGTTATAATTTATTGACGTAAATTTTATAAATTATGTTAAAAATCTTATGAATTATTATTTTTTTTTAATGTGCAGTGGCGATTTATTTATTTTATTTTTACTTTACTGATTTACCTTAAATAATTTATTTATTTTTACTTTTAAGTATGTTCTAGAAGTTATTCAATTTTAATTTAATTTTATAATTTATTCTTATTGTTTTTAAAAATGCAGCACAGATTTAGAATTAATTATTCTTACTTTACTGATTTGTACTTTAATAATTAATTTTTTTTACTTCTGAATATATTTTAAAGATTATTTAATTTTTAATTATTTTATAAAGTGCAGCGCAGGAGTGTTGATAATTATTTTTACTGTACTGATTTACAATTTATATATTAAATTAAATCTATTTTTAAATTTTTTCAAGATTATCAATTTCAATTAAATCTTAAATAATGTTTAATATTATTTTTAATTCTTATTTTAATATCCATATTTTAACTAATACATTTTTTATATATTTTAATTTATAACTTTTTATTCTATTTTATTTTTTAATATACTTTTAATTATTTAATTTTATATTTATTTTAAAAATTTATTTTTTTTCTAAATTATTTGTATTAATTTAATATTTTTTGTTGTTTTACAAAATTGCACCACTAATTTTTAAATTATATTTTTTACTGGTTTACGTAATTTATTTTTGGTTTGGAAAATTTTTTAAGAACATTAAATTTTGATTCACATTAATAATAAATTTTTAAAAAATAATTATTATATACAGATATTTTGGAGAGATGTATACTTTAATTTAAGTAGTATTGCGCCGGTACAAAGTTTCTTAATTTATTTTTAATTTGATTACAAATTTATTATTATTATTAGCGTGAGTAAGCTTGAACACTTATTTTTAAATTAAATTTATTCTGTAAAAGAATTTTTTTTTTAAAAACTTATCACCATTTTTATTATTGGAGTTAAATGGATTCATAATAACGTAAATATAATAATAAAGTAATTTATTTAATTTACTTTTTTATTCGTTATTATCCAGCAAAATAGTTTTTTCAAGATTATTATTATATAGTTTTGCCGCTACGCAAATATACCGCAGCACCGATTTTCGAATCGGCGAGGACGCCGTTCATGCGGCAGTCGAGTGGATTCAGGCGACCAATCAAAGACTGCCTTCCGGTACTCGATCTCCTTCTCGATCTTAGATGTCCTTGTAAACACGTGGACATTCGATAGGTTCGAATGTTCGATTTGAGCTGGCCTATAACGGCGCTGGATATGAAGCTTTAAACTTTGAGCCTAGTTTTTATTATTATTATTATTAAAACTTTCAATCAATTAACTTTTTATATTAATATATATTGCATAAAAATGATATATTTATTATTTCCTTAATATTATTATTATTAAAACTTTCGATATAATTGTTATACTATATTACTTAATATTGCAATAATATAAAAAGTACGTGTTTTATTATTATTATTATAATAAAAACTTTCTATGCTAATTTTATTTTTTATATAATAATTATGAAACTTTTTTGTTAATATATATATTGCTTAAAAATAATATATTTCTATTTACTTATTTTAAAAAACGTTATATAATCATTATACTATCTTAATCCGTATTGCAAAAACATAAAAATTTATACATTTATTATTATTGCTAAAACTTTAAACTTATTATATAAATATTAATAAACTTTATTATTATAATTATTATTGAAACTTTATTATAATTATTTACTATATTATTTTATATTATATAAAAATTTATATACTTAATATTTATTACTATATTTACTTTTAATTTATTTTTTTCTATACTAAATTTAATATTTATATTATAATTATGAAACTTTATACATATTATTTATTTATTATTATTATTCATAAACTTTCAGTTTATTAACTTTTATACTAAATTTATATTTATATTATAATTATAAATCTCTAATGTTACAAAATGCATTTATTTATTATTATTATTAAAACTTTAATACTAAATATAGTTTTATATATAACTGATTTATTATTAATAAAGCTTTCAATATACTAAATTTTCTATACTAAATTTACTTATATTTTAATATTATGTAAAAAAGTATTTTTTATTATGTAGTATTAACTATTTTATTATTATTATTTTAACTTATTTTTAATAACTTTTTATTATAAATTTTACTGGTTATAGAATATTTTTTAAACTATATAAGATTTTATACTTATTATTTATTGTTATATTACTACTAAAAAGCTATATTCTACTGAATTTTTATAATGAATGTACTTTTATATTATAATTATTAAACTCTATTACTTTATATGACAATAAAAGTATATTATTATTTATTATTTAATATTACTATAATAAAATTTTTAACATTTCTTTTATTATTATTATTTTATGAAGGTAAAGGCGCTGGCTTAAGCGCGGCTGCTGAATCTTTCAAATGGTTTTTCTATTGGGTTTCTCACACGTGGACACACCAGGTTTCATCATTTTTCTTGCTCTTTTGTATTTTTAAAAAGGCAATACAATAGCATTAAAAAAAAATAACCATAATTTTATTTAAGAATTTGGATTGGCTGGAACCCGAAGAGTGCAGCAAAGGGGAGGACGTTTGCCAGACTTCAAGTGAACTTTTTTTTTTATTTAATTTTCTATACTTTTTATGTTTTATTCATTATTTTTTTTATAGTCAACAGGATTGAATGGGAGTTAGACGCTAATATTAAACTTATTAAAGGTTAATAATAATAACAATAATAATATTAAATTAAAATAAATAATAATAAAAGGAGAACCAATTTATTTTAGTGATATGAAAGAACACTTTAAAAATGGAGAAATGAATAACACAACTAGTAAGTAAACTTTTATTATTACTATTATTACTATTATTACTATTATTTTTATTATATTGTATTTTATATGATAATAAATATTCTTAAAATTAAAATAATAAAAATGTTTCTGCTTTAGCCAATTGTATTATTATAAACGAAAATAAATTGAAAGTGATTCGTCCATTTTTAATAGAAACCAATTAATTTTTCTGAGCACATTTTTATATAAACCGTACTAAATTCTGTTCTAACTAATTTGGTAGATTATAATAACATTTCATTAATCCTTATTATAAAAAATTGTTTATATATCAATTATTATGAATTATTATTATTACAATTTATTATTATTTTTATCATTATGTTTAATGCAACAGTAAATATAACTTTGAAACTTATTTATACTAAATATAAATAAATGCTTCAGCCATTGCATTCTTTATTGACGGTAATAAAATTAATTTGATTCGTCCGTTATATAAAAGGAACTAATGAACTTTTTGTGCTGCCGTACTTAATCAGTTGAACCAAAAATTTTTTATAACTGAATTGGTAGATTATAATAAATATTTATAACTGGTGTCAAATTATTGCCGTATCACAAACGTTTTTCTGTATTAATAATGTTAATTTTGTATTAATGATAATAATAGAAAATATATTTTTCAAAAATGAGCCCGACGGATTACGCATGTTGTATTCTCCTAATTCTCTCGTCCCTCCCGAAATATCGGGACTTTGGCCCGCTTCTGCAAAAGTTTTATTATTATTACAATTATTATTATTATTATTATTATTATTATTATTATTATTATTATTATTATTATTGTAGGCTCCATCTGATAGAATTCCAAGAGCTTTACCAAAAAATACCAAAATACTAAAAGTTTTGAAGTCGAGAAATATTACAACCGTAACAGGTTTTTTACTTTAATGCATATTTTTTATATTTATAAAAGCTTTTTATACGTATTTTGTATTTATTTTCGCCACAAAAACTTATTCATAATAAACTTTAGGAGACAACTCTAGAAAAGAGCTACTTTCACAAAAAAATCCTCATCATGGTGTATACACGAGCATTCGGGATTATGGTGTTGAAGGTTTTTTTATTGACTATTCTATAATCTTTTCATTATAAAAGATTTTTACTAGGAATTCTTATCATTCCAAGATGGGCAGTCAATGTTTTTTATGATGTATTATTATTACTATTATAGTTTTTATTTTATTTCTTTATTATTTTTTTTAGTTAAAGTTTTTTTTTACTTTTATTAGATTTATTTATTTATTTTTGAAAACATTAATGTATATTTTGCTAGTTTAAATTATTATTATTAAAAATTATTGTCATGCTTTTTTAATAACTATTGTAATAATATTATAAAAATATTTATTTATTATTATTCTACTTTCTTATGTATTTATTTTGTTAAAGTTTTATTATTACTTTATATTTACTTAACTTTTTCTTTATTGATTGTGTTATACTATTTTTTTCTATTACAGTATAATTATTAATTTTTTCTTAATTATTATACTTAATGTTTATTTACTTCATTAATTTATATAAAAATATTTTTTTTCAAAATAATATTTATGTATCCATTTATATTTTAGTATTATATTTTCTATTATTTATTAAGTGAACAATAATTTTTAATATCTAATATTATATACATATTTCTTTATTGCTATTATTATATTATTTATATTTTGTTATTTTATATTATTTATTTATTTATTAACTTTCATTATATTTATTTATTATTATTTATATTTAGTAATCTATATTTAACTGCCCTTTCAAAAAATTATTTTAATTTATTATTATTTTAATTTTTTATTATTACTATTATATAATGATTTTCATATATTATTTAATATTTTATTTATGTATTTTTATTTTACTTTTATTATTACTATTATAAAATATTTTTTATGTATTTATTTATTATTATTTTATAAGTTATTTTTATAATGGTTTTATATATATTATTTCTTATTTTATTATTATATATAACTTATTTATATTATAATTATATTATATATTATTTTTTATTACTATTATCAATAATTTTTTATATATTCATTTATTATTATTATTTTATATAACTTATTTATTTAAGAAAATTCATTTTACTTAATATTTTTATTTAACTTTGTATAATATTTTTTAGTACTATTTTAAAAAAATTTTTATATATGTTTCTTATTATTTTTATGTGTATTATATTTTTTTAGTACTATTATAAAATATTATTTTATATATTTGGTATGTTTATTTATTATTATTATTTTCATATTTTTGTATTCTATTTCTATTTTTGTAAATAATTTTAATATACTTCTTTATTATAATACTTTATATATATTTATTATAATTTATTTTTCTGTATTATATATCTTTTTTATTTCAATTATATAATTTTTATGCATTTCTTTATTATTGTTATATTTAACTTATTTATCTTTTTTACAATATATATAATTTGTAATATAATTTTTATTATGAATAAAATATAATTGATAATTATTTATTTAGTACTATTTATTAATATTTTTTATGGACTATTATTATAAATATTTTTATGTTTATTTATTATTAATATTATATATTTATTATTTTGTGTATTAATTTTTTCTTTTATTAATTTTTTATTCTTATTGTTATTTACATTTTTATTATTATTTTGATTTCGTTATTATTATAATATTTAATTTTATATATTTACTTAATATTATTACTATTTACTTTACTTATTCATTATTATTTTATGCTACTATTGTTATTTAAATAACTTTATATTTTTATATATTTATTTTCATTATATGTAATATTTATTATTTATATATATTTTATTATAACTTTTCTTACTTAATAAATATATTTACAAGATTTTTATTATATTTTTATTTTTTATTTTTGTATAATAATACTTTTTTTTTATTCATAATTATAATATTTTTTATTTCTACTTTTTTTTTGGTTTCGTATATTATTTTCGTATATTATAAATTTTTATTATTATTTTTTATTTTAAACTTATATATATTTACTTATATATTAAAAATTATATATATATTATTATTGTTATATCAGTTATTTTTTCATTTTTTTAATCTTTTATTAATATTATATATTTTATTTGCTTATTATTAATTATTATTATCATGTATTTTACATATTTATTTACTATATATTTATTATATATTATAATTATTTTGTACTCAATAATAGACGAAAGACCCTCATTCTTATATGAAAGAATATAATGAAAAAAAGGTTTTCTTCTTCTTCTTCTTCTTCTTCTTCTTATTATTATTATTATTATTATTATTATTATTATTATTATCAGGCCTGCTTATGGTCGGATGGGCCGCCCTGCCCTAAAAGTGGTCATCAGTCTTTTGAAGAAGCCATCCTCCGTCAAGCAAAAGCGACTACTGTACACTCAATTCACCATTCTATTCGCTAAAATAATTTGGTAAAAAAAATACACCAATAGGCTCCCTGGCTACAATTTCGCGCCGACCCGTTTATGTTTCATCAAGCCAATATGAACCCATTTAAATATAAAAGTAACCTAATTAAATTTATAATGATACCTTTTTGAGTTTTGGTAACGGATTGTTTTTTTTTTTGCGGTAGACAAAAACCAGTCGCTGGTTAGTTTGTGGGCTGATGAAAGTTTGAACTTGTTATTACAATACGTAATTATTATTATTATTATTATTATTAATATTATTATTATTAATATTATTATTATTAATATTATTATTATTATTATACTATTATTACTATTATTACTATTATTACTATTATAGATAAACAAACTTCCTATTGTTTCTATTAAAATGGATGACCTCGGAAACTTTTTTAGAGCAAGAATGAGAAGAGGTTTCATTATTATCATTATTTTCAGTAAATTATTATTTTTTGTTCATGTTTACTTTTTAGTTTTATTTCTAATAAAAAAAATTTATAAGAGCGCTATAATTTAAATGTATGTGTTCTTTTCATATATTTATAATTATTCTTTTTTTATGTATTATTTTTTAATATTATATTGTTTATTTTTAATATTTCTTTAAATATTTTATTAAGTCAATTTTTTTAACTCATTATTATTATTTGTTTGTATGGACACTTTATGGTTGTTTTTCATAATATAAATCTCTTTTATATACTTCTCCATTTTTTTATTATATTTATATCTTTAGTATTTTTTTCATACGCTCACTTTCTCATTTTTAAAATTCCAATTTTATTATTTATAAATATTTTTCAAACAGATTATTGACTTCTTTTTTTATATTAATTATTTACTTAATGTGTATACTTTATAATTCTTTTAATAATATATACTTATTTTTTAGAAATATATTTTTATTCTGAATAGCTTATTACGCAAACTTTTCTAATTAGTTTATATTTTATATTTTTTACTTTCTTATTTTTATAAAAATTTCATTTTTTTATTCATAAATATCTTTACTGTCTATTATTATGCAAACTTTTTATCTTTCTTTAAATATATATTGTTATTACTTTAATTCATATCATTATTAAATTTGTTATTTATACTTTTCAACTCTTATGAATATTTTTTTTTGCAAACTTTTTTTTATTCTCAATATATTTTTATTATTTATAAATATTTTCTCCAAAATTTTTTTATGCCAACTTCTCTTGTTTTCTTTTATATTTTCATTATTTTTATTTATTTCTTATGATTAATAGACAACTGCGATATTGAAGCCTTTGCTAAATTTTCCAACAACGAAATTCAAAGTGTTCGTATAAAAGGCACGATTTTTTAAGTACTATAATATTTGCTATTCACTATTTGATCATAAAAAAAGGAGGAAACGATAATCAACCCGAGTGCGTGGCTGTCTTGACTGTTATCAAGAAAATTTTTGGTTATACTAAATATTCATTAAAAAATAAGAGATTCACGTGGTGGTTCCAATCATTTTTTAGGCTAAATATTTAATGATTACTTTAAAAATTAATAAAAAAGAAATAACATGAATCATAATAATAGAAAGAAAAAACCACGTGGTAGTTTAAATATTTATTTTTATAATATTTAACAATTAAATATTATTTTTATTCAAATGCCACATGGTAATTTTTTATACGAAATATTTAATGACTTTAATAATAATAGTACAATAGAAAAGAGAATTACTATTATAATAGTAAACATGTGGTCGTCAATTTTTTTGTTTACTAAAGACAACTATATTTTTAAAAATAAAACAAAAAATAATATGATAATAATAAGGACGCCACGTGCTTCAACAATTTTATACGGAATATTCAATGCTTATTATATTATAAAAAATAAGAAAAATATTAAAATAAACACGGCAGTTTAACTTTCTTTTTACAAAAATTTAATGGTATTAAATAAATATGAATAAGAAATAATATTTTGATGTATTGATAATAAGGGAAACCACGCGTAATCACTATATTCCATATACGTAATATTTAGTAATTATTATAATAAAAGTATAATAAAAAATTAAAAACAATAATAATATATTATATATAATAATGGATGCATGTATTCTTTTTTTATTCACAATATTTTATGGCTATTATAATATAATAAAAAAATAGAGTATTTATATAACAATAAGTAAGCCGCGTGCCGGTCAATATGTTTTAACCGTACAAAATAGTTAATGATTATCATGAAAAATAAAAAAATTAGAGGTAATACTAATGTAATAATAAACACGTGGTAGTCTACATATTTTTTTATACATAATTTTAATGATTTTCATAATAAATTCATATTAAAAAAACAAAATGGTATTAAATATTGAATATTAATAATAAGTAATTCATATGGTAGTCAAAATGTTATGTGTACAAAAGATTTAATGAATTTAATAAAAAAGAAATAAACTAATATACATAACTTTTCAAGAATTCAAAAATAATAACGAACACGTGGTGGAGGAATACGGGCCGGAGCGAACAATTGAAGTTTACATTAAATATGGTTCAAATATAATTTTTTTCCTTTATAAAAATTAACCAATCCCCTCGCTTAAAGTATCTACCAAAAATAATGTGACAAAATTTAGTTTTTAAATGTTTGTTTGTAAATTTATAAATATCCAATTATTATTGGTTTCAATTTTTTACTATATAGAAATAGTGAATAAAACAACTTTCTATTAATGTTCTCATAAGAATAAATAAATTACCATTCTATATTTTTTGGTTAAAACTAGCCAATTACTGTTTATTTAGTTTTTCCTTTAAAAAAAAGGTACAAAATTTTTATGAAGTAGTTTATAATAATATTAAGAAAAGTAATGCTGTTCATTGCGTTTTTTGTTGATTATTAAAAAATAATTAATCAGTAAATTTAGTTTTATTTACTGGAAAAATAGTGATATATTTTTGGATATTTAATTTTAAGCATTTTATAATTTTAACTTCGTTAGGTGGATTCTTTAGTTTTATTTATTTTTTATATTACATAAATTTAATAATGTAATGAATTTTATCAATAAAAAGATTTACAATTAATATATTTATATATAAATTTAGGTGAAACTTCTACTGTTGAAATCGGGAAAAAATGAGAATTTCTTACATGTTTTATAACTGACCAATGATTGTTCAAGCAAAAAGAAAAATTTAATTTTAATAAAATTGATTAAAAATGGATTTTACCTCCATTTAGTATTAATTTGAAACGTATAAAATACTCACAAATGTATTATAATATTACTAGAGATTTTAATGAAATTATTTTTCATTATTAATTTTATAAGTATAGCATTTTCAATAATAAATAGTTTATCTTAACTTGATTATAGCTAATCTCTACGCATAAGTCAGAGTTTTAATAAAAAATATTAAAAATAGCACAATTACCTATCAAGAACGAATTTTCCCTATATATTTTAAATTAGCCTAAATGAATTTATAACTGAAGGATTTAAGCAAATAAGTAGTTAAAGGTTTTGGTCGCTGCGTTGAAAACACAAAAAATTAATTGTGGCAACTCACATAAACTTATAATCGTTTTAAGTAAATGTATTAATATAATTAATTGCGATAATAATAAAGTGATTGTAAAAGCGAAAAGCTCCTAAGAAGAAATTGTCGTATGCAAAACTATTCGTAGGGACCAGAACTTCTTCCCCAAATTTATATAATAGAAATCTTTTATTATTAATGTTCTTTTTTTTGCATATGTTTAAACCCTGTCGGCTGCTCCTGCAGTAGAGAAAGCTCCATTGATACCTTAGGAAACTCTCCAAGCAGGCCCAGAGCTTTTGCCCTAATAAGTAGTGCTGGAGTTAATAGAAATTTATAGAAAATTATGAACAATATAAAAATATGTAAAAGTAATAGTTTAAATTAATAAATAATAAAAAATTAAGAAAGGAAATTGAATTTAGAAAATGAAAGACTACAACAGACTAGTAAAAAATAGAGTTTATGAATAAAGTATTGATGGACAGAGTGTAAATTAGATGCGGAAATCAGAAAGCAAAGGAGATTTCAAAACTTAGAGTTCGTTGAAAAGGTAAAGACAAGGTATTTTATAAAAAACAAGTACGTAAGCCGATGTTACTCCGCCTAAATGTAACCATCGTATCCTAATTTAATATATGTAACACAACTTACTAAATCATCAGAGTTAACCCGGATAGAAACTAATAAAGGAAATTTAAGCAACTTTTTAAAAGCGTCTGTAATAAGAAACATTTACTGATTAAATAATAAAAAAATTAAGAGATCAGTATAAACTAAAAAGAAAGTTATACACAAAAAAGGGTAAAAATACTAATCCAAGAAGGTTTTAAAAACAGATCTTTAAAGCTTTTTAAAAAAGGGCGTATACATTAATTTTCATGTGCTTTACATGCCGATACTGAAGTAATATAATTACTGTGTAACCATTAAGACGTCAATTTTAAGCTTTTTATTCTAGGCTTCTAATTATATATTCAGTTGTTACTTTCATAGCCTCTTTAAATTGCGTCATTTTTGTTTGAAATTTTGGTGTGTTTCTTTTATATAAGTAAAGAATTCCTTATTGGTTAAATTATTAATCTTACCATAATTTTAATTTTTTTATAATTATTATAAAATCAGGAAAGATGTCGGCTTTTTTGGTATTCCCGTTGGCGATCTCTCCGGACTTTAATGTAAGAACCTCCGATATTTTCTTTTAGGGATAAAAAGCAATTGTCATTTCCACAAAAAGAATTAGAGGGGTTTAGAGAATGTATTTTTTTTTTACCTTTGTTACGTAAAACTCGCAGTTCTTGTTTAATAAAAGACGATCTTTTGAAGAGCAATTTTACGTTAGAGGCTTATCTATCCATGTAATGCTTCTTAGATGCCGTTCAACGAGAGCATTTCATGTTCAAAGAAATATAATATTAATAATTTTAGATGAGTTTCAAGGTGGTCGCTTATGTATAATAGTCCTGTCAATTTCGATATACAAAATTGGGAAGGGGAAGAGCGAAGGTGTGGCTTTTTGAGTTGCATAAAAGATTTCCATCAGTAGCTTTTTCCAACTAAAAGTATTAATTAAAAAAAAAATCTTCAACTTCAGCGAAAGAACGCTTAGATAAATAAAATCGTAAAAAAGTTTTGCTGCGTTTCTATTACAATGTATCTTTAGTAAACTACATTCAGTACAAACAAAAAGCAAAGAGTTAATAGGGTTAATAGATGTGTATATATTCAGGTGGAGTTAAGAGTAAAGCAGCGTTTTCGCCGCACATAGTTCCACCATTTTGCCTTTAGAAACGTAGCATTTGCTGTTTTATGAGGGATTTGTAGTATAAGGGGCCACTTTCAATCACTAAAAAGATAACATAACTTCTTTAAGTGTTTAACGCGTAGGGCCTTATATAGAGACATATATACCAGTTTCTTTAATATTCTGTAGTTTAAATTCCAAAAGAAATTGCTTCCTGCCCTTTTTTGTTACCAGTATAAAATCGGTTTTATCGATAACCTGTGGCTTGGAGTTCAAAATTTATTATTTATGAAGTGTTTAAAAAAATTTCCAATAATCTTATGTTTCTTGTGTCTTTTTCTAGAAATATTTTAAAATTTTTCCAAAGCAAACCTTCATTAGCAGCCGCTGCTCCGTGTTTGAAAGAAATTTTTAAGTAGTTGCGTATAATAAAAGACGGCATCAGTCATTACCGCGATAGCTTGTTGTTCTTGCAACGCAGTCACGTCGAACGTTTACTGAGTGCCCACGCAGGAACAGCGTAGGCCACGACCAGCTGGACACACATCATGCAAATAACCGCTTGTTGCACATTCCAGCTGGTAAAGCGCTAGCTTCACGAAGATGGAAAGAACGACCTTGACAGGCTTCTTTTTAAGACTACCAAAACCGCTCTCCCAGCAATGCCACTGTTTTGCAGTATTCCTCCACCGAGAATGGCAGGAGAGATTGAAGATCGTTGCCGTACAAACGTTCAGCTTTTCTGGTCGTATTTTCTTTATGAGGACGACAAAAGAAAGCTATACATATCCATAACTTTTTCGGGGTTGCGCCTGTTTTAGATGTTTTTAAAGCGATTCATCTGTCTCCCTCCCTCTCCATTCTATTTGTTGCTAAGAAAAAGGCCAAAAAAAAAAAAAGAGTTTTCTCTTTTTCAACATCCTCACCAACTTTGTGGGTGGCCTTCGGTCATCATTCTGAACATGATGGGGAAGTCTACACTAGCGGTTCCCAAAGGGTTAAGTTTGATTAATAGGCGACGTGTAGCGATAAAAAAGGGTACTTAGTTCATTTTTTACTCCCAATAGGAAGTTTTTTATCGTTCTAGTTCAGTAGAACTAGCTAATGAGTGCCTCGCGAGTGTTCTTTAGTTTGGTTCTATTTAAATAAAACTTTTTTGTTTTTCATTTTTACCTTTAATGCCTCAGATTTTCTTAGCTAACATGTGAGTCTTATATTTCGTATTGTCTTATTTTAGTAGGCTGAATATTATCAACTTGTGTTTATAGCGAGGTTGCAATCTTTCCTAGCTCAACTTACTTTCACTCCACCAGTGTAACGAGATTGATTCTGAATTTGCTTACAAGAAAGAACCTTTGTCATAATAACGAGAATCAATAAAGGGAAGATGACTGTATTAGAAAAATTTACTTGTATCAAACTTACTTTCCTTCCAGGTCTATCTAACAGTAGTCTAACTCTCTTGCTAACTTTGTGACTTGCCTGGGTTTAATTCAGCTTACTTTCAAGTTTACTTGGATATCGTGAATTAGTTTGACCTTCTTAATTAAAAAGTCCGCGACATGAGCAAAAATGTGAATAACGCCTATCTGTCTTTATGTTGGATTTTTGGTGTTAGTCCTACATAGGACTCCGTTAACTATTGATTTAAAATAGTTAATTTTTGTATGTATTAAGAGCTTAGTTATTTTATTAAACAATTTTTTTTTAACAGTTTCTGGTGTATTTGCATAGTTCGCTTGGAGATATTGTGCATATCTAACCAGTAGACATTACTTAAACAAAGGGAAAGCATACAATAAGCGCTATGTATGTCTGATGAATTTTTTTTTGGCTTTGGTATGCTCCTGCAAAGCAGTATTCATCACTTAAATAAAGGCTCTGTAGAGTCTAGTTGGTCTAGCGATAAGAAAGGAAAAGAATTTTTTGTTCTATTATTGAGTGTGAAATGATAAAGGTAACTGGAAGTTTACGCTCAGTACAAGAGGGCCCTCTTTCTTTTAGATCGCTTTAGTTTTTAGAGAGGGATAAATGCCTTGTATTTAAATTTTTACTTTTGACAAAACACTATTATCTATTCACAACACCGCAAACACAAATATTTTATAGGAGTAGCACAAGGGTGTCCTCAATATCACATACCTTATATAGTGGCCTGCTTCTAGTATCTCAATCTAAGAACTAGAAGTCAGCTACTTTTGTGACTGGTAAATGAGTAACTCTTAACAAAAATTTAGAAAATAAGATAAGAAACCATTAAAATAGAAAGAAAAAGTGAAACCGAAAGTTATCTAATAAACATTGGCTTACAATAATTACAATGGCTAATTATTTATAGCCAGTATTAATGAAAGGGGGTACACTGACCCACAAAAATGCGTATTTATAAATTAAAAAATTATAATTTAAAATATAATTTAGTTAACACTATAAATTATAATATTCAAAGTTTTGAGATTTATTCGTGGGTTCAAAAAATAATTAAATAGTTTTTTGTAGACCAGTAGATAAGAAAAAAAAAAGCTCGCACAATGCTAATTTACTCCTTTTTTGATACCATAAAAATATTTTTATTAAAAACGTATATGCAACTTCCATTATAAATTTTTAGATACACTTTTTTATTGTATTAATAGTAGAGGACAATTAACCAAAAAAACTTTCAGCATATTTTATTTTTATATAATTAAAAAGTGGGAAGGGATATCAAAAATAATATAGTGAGAAGTATATAAGTTCAGAAGAGCAGTGGGGTTGGTGTGTTGAGTCCGCTCGCTACCTCTCAGGCGTAGCGAAGCAAACTTCCAGGCCCTCTGTAAACCTTATCCGAAGTCGGAAGGGAGCGGCGATGTAGAGGTTACGCCTGGAAGCAGCACCCTCACCTTTTTTTATTATTATTAATGAATATTGCGAATGCTCGATAAGTTGAGTCGGACCGCTTTATAGTCTTAGTCTGGGTGCAAGTAGGCGCCCGTATATCTCCAAGAGGAATATCATAACTGTCCCGGTTTTCTAGGGGAGAGTGTAGTACGTATTTAGCCTCCTGGACACCCATCGAAGTGCTTTTCGCTTGTGCACTTCCCTGTAGAAATCCCACCAAGCCAAAAAGTGAACGCCCACCTTCTCTTTCTTTTAGTCAAAACATATGTATATTCCTAAAAATTTGCTGGCGATGACGTGTTAAAAGAGTTATTTTTATTATCTGTTGTACGGAAATTGTGGAACAAGAGAACTCTTAATATATTATAGTGGAACGAACAAAGTAACTGCACTACAGGATATGCTAATCGGAAAGACGACGTCAAGTGAATTTATATTAATTTTGGTTATCACTATTTACAATAGTAAAGTGTTTATGTGCTCTTAATTTTACTTAAACTTAGCAAGTAGTATTAATGCGCTACACGAATAAAGGACAGCAGGTAGAATGTTTGCATTTTTCAATCTTAAAAAAGGTTTACAAATGAATATAAAGAAAAAATTAGATTAAAATAATTTCAAGTTTATTTTTGCGACGTATATATAGTTTCATAGAATAATAATAGTAATTATAAAGTTTTTTATTGGCCAGTATTGTCCACACTACCAGATTCATTGACTACAGCAGTCGCTGGAGTGGCCAATAATATGTCAAAATCATAGAGGACAGGGACAAGCGCATTATTTATAGATTGCGTGTCTACTTGAAGACCGGTTTCATTGGCTGCGTTTGATAGTTCGGAACTTATCATCCCATGTAAAACCTAAATAATAATAATAATAAAATAATAATGAAGTGATAATATAAATATAAAAGTACTTTATAATTCATAGAATACATGAAAGAGCCGATATGGGCGACTAAAAAAGTTCCTATTATTAAAATATTATTTTTATAACCGTTATTATTAATAGTACTATTATAAATAACATACGAATGTATACAGCCAAGTAAACTATAATAGAAATAAAACGTTCGGCAGAAAGTTCTGAACCACTCAGGCTTTCCTCATAAAGTAAATTCTATTTAAAATTAATAGTATTATTATTATTATTATTATTATTATTTATAATAGTAAACCTGAAGATAATTCTGTACATAAGAACGAGTATAAGTCTGCACAAACAAGCGAGTGTATTCTTCTCGCTTATAAAAGTGATTTTCTATATCTTCTAGTGTCTATTATTATTGATAATATTACTATTATTATTATGATATTAATATAATTATTACCGAAAGCGGGGTAAATACAGAAGGCTCTTCGTGATACAATTGTAAAAGAGAATTAGGGATATCCGATATTACTGAAGAAGGCCAGAGAGATCCGAAACTAATAAGTTTATATAAATGTGTTATTATTGTTATTATTATTATTATAATTATAATTATTAATATATATTATTATAAAAAAAAGTACTTCAAGGAAAATAAAGGTGTCTTATAAAAGGAATTCCGATCATAAACTTCTCGCTCTGAACTTTTTATAAAATTTTACTTCCTATGATTTTTAGTGAATATACATTATAATAATTTACACCATTTATTTATCATGAATTCACAATCTTTCACTATTTGCTGGCTTTCTTCATTCTTCAAACTATATAGTCCTATAAAAATAAAGATAATAATAATTATATATTATCCATTAATTCTTATAAAATGCATACGCCAATAAAAGAATGAATATAAAAATTTGACCAACCAGAGCATTTGAGGGCTTCCGTAAAGGCAGTCTTGGAATTGCTCCAATCGCTCAATGCATAAAGCGCTGCGCCCAAATGGATGTGACTTATAAATAATTGGCTGAAAAAATTAAATATCTTGATTTAGTTAAAATGTGTAGCAAAAGTAGACTTTATAATTGTAATAATAATGATAAAATAAATATCAAACAATAAATAAAAAAATCCAATTAAAGATAAAATGTTAGCATATATAATGAAAAGAAAAACCTGTTTTTTTTTAGCGCCAAAATGGCTAAAGTTTTAGCGCTTTCGTAGTTTCCTAATAAAAATTCCGTCAAACTCTGATTGGTTAGTAGGCCAGAACTGTTGGGATTAAGAGCAAAGCCTTGAGATCATTATTATTATTGATTATAATTTGCTATTATTTATCATTATTTTATTATTCATAATTTTACTATTAGTATTATTATTCATCATTACTATTACAATAATTATTATTACTTTATTATCATTAAAATATTGTTATTTAAAAACAGTTGTAATAATAATGATATCATTATAAAGAAGTGCTGATAAGACACACTATTATTATAAATATTATCATCTCATTATTATAACAAAATTCGGTTATAAGTATGATTATTTTTGCTTATTATTTTTTATCAATAACAAAAAGTTAGTCAGAATATAACAATTCATTATTACAAAAACAATAATACAAAAAGTTATATTATTATTATTTCACTTTCAGTTTACTTTCCTCATATGTGCTGATCACTAGAATAAATATAATACTATTTATCATAATTATCATAAATATTATTAAACTAATAATAATAATTTTGAGATTTTTAAAAATAGTTTTTTATAAAAAAAAGTATTATTATAAAAACTTTTAAAACTTTTGAATTATATTTTCATAGTAATATAAAAGATTATATATCAGATTTTTTTTTTTGCTCGAGAGTTTTTTTTTTAATAATAAAAGAAAATATTTAATAAAATAAAATATATAATTTTTTCTGGTTGTTAATCTTACAGACTAGATAACTTCAAGAACTAATATAATTATAAACAAAGTGAGAGTAATATGTTAAATTATATCACTAAGAAATATAAATAAAGTTAGTTAAAATAAAGAAAAACCGTATAATTTATTTGAGCGCTCTCGAGCCGCCCGAGTAGCACAGCGCTCACCACCTAACAAACACTGACAACAATGAACGACAAAAAAATAGAGAGAGCGCGACGGTCACAGCACCCCTTAAAACATTAATTAGGATTGTGCCCTCAGACGGCAATCCTCAATTACATATAATTAGCAAAGAAAACAAAAACTTTTCAATAATAAAAGAGAAGAGCAAAAAAAATAATTTTTTTTAATAATAAATTTTGAAATGTTAATAAGTATAATTTTTTCAATAATAATAAAGACTAAAACGAATATTAATAATTATTTTAAAAAAATAAATTTTATTAGAATGCAAAAAGAATGATTTATCATTTAGAAAATAATAATAATGCTTACCGATCACAAAATGTTCTCTAGCAACTTCATATCTTCGATCTTTTAACTAAAATAATAAAAAAATATAATAAATAATAATTAATAAATGAAGAATAAATACTTCAGAAAAAGTGATAATAGCAATAAAGATAATAATAATATAATACTTCTATAATCCCTAACTTCGATGCAAGTAAAGAAGTTTTCTTTCTTGAGAGAGAAACTTCGTTAGAATCTACAAAGACATCATTATTATCACTACCGTTATTATTGCTTTTATTATTTTTATTATAATGTTATTTTTTATAATTTATATTATTTTTTAGTTATTATTATTATTTATTAACCAAAAGTTCTATAAAAGTTTTCGAAATCTTCAGGATCGAAAGTTCCTTTTAGAGCAATATAAAGCGTATAATTCTCTGGATCGTGTTGAAGCCCCTTATGTTAAAAATATATTTTTTTACATAAAGATTATAAACTTTATTACTTTTTTATATAAAAATGAATAAAGTTTATTAAAAAACAAATATATTTATTAAATATATAAAAAAAAGTAAAAACTTAGTTTTAATAAAAATTGATATTCACTCTTCAAATCTTAATTTATAGGTTTTATTATTCATTAAAAGTTTAAGAAAAAAATATATATATATATATAAAACATTAAAACTTTTAGGTGTTTCAAATAATAAAAAACTTTAAAGCTATTTTCGCTATAAAATAAAACTTTTTAAAAAATATTAATTAATATCATAATTTAAACTTTAAAAAATAATAATAAAAAATAAACTTACAATAAAAAAACTTTTTTCTAAAAAAAGAATAAAAAAATAAAAAGTTCAAAGAATAATACTAAATAATACATGTGTTACTAATAAAAAATATACATCAAAACTTTTAAATAAAATAGAAAAAAATATAAACTTAAAATATTTACTATAAAATTATGTACACTTTTTTTTATAAAAAATAATAAATAAATATTAACAAAAAACTTTATACAATAAGAACTTCTTCTATTTAGTATTAAAAAAATATTAATAATTATCTACAAATATCATAATAATAATAAATACTAACTTTAAGTAAAAAAAAATTTCAAATAATATAAAATAATATTATAAATAACTTGTAAAAAGGCGACGGCCGCATCACGTGGAAGATTTAATTTTTGAAGCGCGATTCCTTTCGGTACATATAATAAAAAAGAAATAGGTAAGTAAAGTAAAAAAAAGTTAAAAGAAAAATTAAAAAAATATATAAAATATTAAAATTAATAAAAATGAGCACTAATTATTATAGTTTTAATGAAAATAAAATGTAAATTGAATATTTTGAAAACTATTTAAAAAATTAAAGAAAACTATAAAAGGACAAAGTTTTAAAAAAAAATTTAAAATATAGAAAAAATTATTATAAAAAACTAAAAATAATAATGAAAACAAAAAATATAAATAAATATGGTATTCAAGAAAAATGAAGATAACTAAACAATTTTTAAAAAATACAAAAATACAATATTCAAGAATAATAAAGAAAAAAAGACAAAGAAAAAAATTTTAAAAATAAGCAAATTAAAAAAGACCTTGACGAAAGTAGCCTTTAGGCCAAGTAGGCGCCAACTGAATACAACGCGACGCATCAGAATACGCCATTTCATATTCTAAAGTAAATAAAAAATAATAAAAAGTAAAAATACAGTGAAAAATAATAAATATATAGAAAATAATAATAAGTAAAAATAGTACATATTATAATATGTAAACATATATTATTAAGAAAATAGTAATAATAAGTATTTATAAGTTTCAAAATAGTATATATTATTATATAATTAAAAATATATACCAGTAAATATAGTAAATAATAGTAAAAGTAAAAATAATAGTATTTATTATAATAGTAAGTAAAAAATAGCAATATGTTAATAACAGTAAATAATAATAATTTAAGTAAATACTTAAGTAAAAAGATGGTAAATAATGTTAAGTAGATAAAAGTGTACAATAGTAATTAAGTTTAACTTCAATAATAATATATAATATAAAAATAAGTAAAAAATATTGATAAAAAAAATAAATAAATATAAAATGTTTTAACTTTTCTTCTGATAAAAAGTTTAAAATAGGTAAAAAGAGAAATTAAGTAATAATAGTTTAATAGTAACTAAAATTAATAGAGTCAACTAACTTTACTTTTAATAGAAATAATAAGTAAAAAAATAATGAATAATAAATATTAATGTCTACTAACTTCAGTAATATTATAAATTACAATAATAATAAGTAAAAAAAAGTGAATAATAATATTAACAAAGTTTATTAAATTTAGAAATAATATAAATTGTAATAATGATTAAAAAAAAAAGTAAAATATTTATGACGAACAATTAAAGATAATAATAAAACATAAATAACAAATAAAATAATTATAAAAATCTTATATAAATAATAAATAATAAAATATAGTATATGTTTACTTATAATAATAAGTAAAAATTTCAACTTTAGTAGCCATATAAATTATTATAATTTTGAAAAAAATTCAATATTTTTTTATTAATAATAATATAAAAATTATATTATAATTACCTACCATAAAGTAATAATAATAACTTTGCAAATAAAAAATAAGTAAAAAAAATGTATATCAAATAACAATATTTATTTTAACTTCATATATAAAGAAATAATAAAAATAATAATATAAATACTAAACGAATAATAAAATAAAATTCTGATTATTATCTTCTTAACAAAAGAAGTTTTTAATAAAAAGTAAAATTTTTTAAGTTTTTTAATGTAAATATAATAATAGTAAAAGTTTTTTTTATAATATTTATTATTTTAAGGTTTTATAAGTTATAATGATAATATAAATCTTTTTTTTTATTTTTTAAAATATTTTTACTTTATTACAAAACTATATAATAGTTATCATTATTACTATTCATTTAAAATTTATTATTATTAAAGTATATTATTATTATTCACTATTTATTTATATTAAGTTAAAGTATATTATAATTAACGTTATCATTATTTATTATTGAAAAAGTATATTATGATAAACATCATTATTATTTACATATTAATATTAAAAAAGTTTATTATATTTATCCTTATTATTATTATTAACATGCTATATTTATCCTTTATTTATTATTTATTATTTATTACTATTATAAAAGAAGATAGTAGTTAGCCTTATTATTACTTATTTAAATTATTATATGATTAGCAATACAATAGCTTTTATAAATGTATACAACATAAACAGAACAAAATATATTATAATTATCATTATTATTATTTACATAATTTTTATTATTTAAAATATTCATTAAAGATAATTAAAAACTTTACAGCTTTGTTAGTTGGATAAATAATTATTTATAATACGAATTGTTACAAAAAAAAATGCAAAAATTAAATATAATTTAAAATATTATAAAATTTAAATAATAAAATTATAAAAGGAAGTAACTCAAAATATTTAAAATAAAATAATAAATATATAAATAAAATTATTTAAGTAAATAAAATAATTGAAAATTATATTAAATATATATATAATAATAAGTAATAGAAATAATTATATTAAATAAATGATGATATTAATAAACATATAAAAAACAAGTAATAAAAGTAAATAAAATGTACAATAATAAAATAAAAGATACATATAAAGTAAAGTATTTAAAGTCAGACTAATAAATATATAAACAATAAGTAATAAAAGTAAGTTTAACTTTATAAATAGATACACTAAAAGGTTTTACAAAGTTAAAAAAGTATTCATAATAATAAAACAATAATTTTATAAAATTAATTATAATAATATAATAATAAAGTACACAAAAAAGTAATAATAACAGTAATAATGAAAATATTTTAATAAGTAAAAAGCAACTACAAAAAAAATTTAAAAATATGTAAAAAGTTATTTAAGAGTTAAAAAAAGTAAAAATAATAAAATAATCAATACAACATCAATGAAAACATTATAATATTATGTAAATTCAAAATTATAACATTTATTAATTATAACAAATGGATATATAATAATTAAAATTATTAATATATAATAATAGGTAATCAAGTATATTTAACAAACAAAAATAACAATTTTATATTAATATTACAATTAAAAAAATAATATAATCTTATACATTTATATTCAAATTTAACATAATAAACAGGAAAAATAATAAAATAGAATAAATAAAAAATATAATACATATATGTTTATTCAAATTATGACGCAAAAGAAAAATATAAAAAATAAAATTAGTAAATAATAAGTAATAAAAGAAAATATAGTAAAATGATAAAGTATACTAAAATTAAATTTAAAAATAATAAATAATAAAATATTTATATATATATTATTTAAACTAAAATTTACTATAATAAATCAATTAAATAAATAATAAAAAATAATATAATAAACTAAAAATGAATATAAAAATAAATAAAATAAAATTATACAAAAAATATTATTATAATTCAAACTTATAATAAAATATATCATAACAAATAAATATTAATAAATAAATTTAAAAACCGTTTAGCTTCAGAAAAGTCAAACTTCTATTAGAAAGAAAATAAAAGCAAAAAGGAGTTAAAAGAAGGCCTCTGCTATACCTAAAAAGTTTTATAATAAATATGAAATATAATATTCTTAATAAATAATATTTTTATAAATATTAAGTAATAAATAATATATATATTATAAAAATAACTTTAACAAATATTTGTATCTATAAAAATTAAAAATATATTTATGATAATAACTTTTACAAATATTCATAATTAAATAAAAAAATAATTTTCCTAGATTTATAAATTAAACATATTATAACTTATATAAATCCTAAAAGTATTAAAAATAAATAAAAATAAATAATTATTATAACAATAACTTTTTTAAATCCGCAAATATATATAAAAAGAATATAAAAATAAATTTTACAAATATATAACTGAAAGGCTACGTTTATACTTTTTTAAAGATTTTTATAAAAAAAAAATTTATTATACATATAACTCCTAATAATATAAAAATATTTTAAATAAAGTAACTTTTACAAATGTTTATATATAAAAATAAAAAATGTTATTACTTATAAAAATAACTTTTTCTAATATTTACATCTAAATAAACCTTCTACTAATATTCATAAAAAACAAAATTTTATATACAAAATAACTTTTACAAATATTTGTAATATAAAAATGTTATTTATAAAAATAACTTGGACATTTCTTTATTAAATAAAGTTCTGTTAAAAACATTTTGCATATGTGTTCAATAGAAAGAACTTCTACACTCTTTGTAAAGATAAATAAAAGTTTTTATACTTTTCTGAAAAAAAACTTTTACACTTTTTTATATAAAAAAAGTTAATGTACATAAAAGTAATAATAATAAAATATATTGTTAATCATAAACTTTACACTTTTTTTAAAAAAAAACTCTATTAAAAAATAATATGTAATAAAATAAATAGAAACAACTTTTCTGGTTTTTTAAAAAAAAAAGTTCTTATATTTAGAAATAATTATTTAATAGAAATAACTTGCACACTTTTTATATATATATATATTATTATAAAAAATAAATTTTTTTTTTTACATAAATAATAGTAAAGATATTATTTTATTATAAAAAAATGACTTCAGCACATTTTTAAAATTTCTTTTTGGAATTTATTTTGATTAAAAGTTTTTCGTTAATAATAATAATATATATATATTATTAAAAATAAAATAACTTAACGCTTTTTTTTATAATTTTTTTTAATATAAATATTTTAAAAAGATAAGACATTCCTAAATAAAAAATATATTTTTTTAAGAAAGATAGTTCTACACTATTTATAACTTTTTTATTAATATAAATTAAAAATAAAAGTTTCAATAAATAATTATTAATATTTTATTAGAAAAGATAACTTCTGCACATATTAAAAATTTTATTTTTATAAATATATAAAAAAAAAATAAAAGTTCTCAACAAATAAAAAATATAATACTTTTAATAAAAAAAAACTTTTACACTTTTATATAACTTTTTTTAATATATTTAAAAAATGTATAAGCTTTTAATATATAATAACCAGAATTATTATAAAAATAACTTTTTTCAAAGTAAAAGTTTTTCATAAATAATAATAACTCCTACATTTATATATAGAAAAGGTTTTATATTTTTTTATAATAATTGTTATTGCCTTATTTAAAAAAGTGTATGCACACATATAAAATAACCACAAAGTTATTGATATTAATAAAAAAAACTTCCATACTTATTTTAAATAGTTTTACTAATTATATTAATATATATAGAAAATTATATTTATATAAGAACTTTTGCACTTTTACAGAAAGTATATTCAAAAAAAATATATATTTTACATATAAAAGTGTTTACTTCTTTATAAAAAAAACTTTACTTATATTATAAATATATATGTTATAAATAAAATTTAACACTTTTTTCTAAAAAATGTTTTAATATATTAAATAAAATATACTTTTACGTAATAACTTTAACACTTTTTTATTAAAAAAGTTTACCCATATTAAAGGTTATATTGATCAATATTATTTTACACTTCTTTATAAAAAAAAGTTTGATATATCAAATAAATATATTATTCAATAACTTTTACACCTTTTTTAAAAAAAGGTTTTCGTACATAAAAAGAATATAATTTTATAAATATAACTTTTTCACTTCTTTACATAAAAAAAGTTTATATTTATAAAAATATATTTCTAATAACTTTTTTATAAGTAAAAAAGGTTACCATAAAACCGCTTCTTTAAAGTTGTTTTGTGTATAAGCTCTAAAAAAATATAAATGTTATTATAATAATAATATTAATATTATAAAATAATTAAAAATAATTAATAATAAAAATATATTTGCAAAAGTATATTTTATACAAATAATAAATATGTGGTATATAAAGAAGTAAAAATACAAATAATAATATATAATATATAAAGAAGTAAAATATATATTCAGCTAAAAAAGTAATAATATTAATATCATTAATATTCATAAAGTTATAAAAAATAAAAAAGGATATATAGTAAATCAAAAGTACATTTAATAATAGTGTTAAAAAAATAAATATTTATTATAAAAACAACAAAAGTATATTTTATACTAATATTATATAAAAAAGAAAACATAATAAAAATATAAATAAATAAAAAATTATATTTAATAATATAAATAGGTTAATAAGATAATATTATAAAGTTATCATAAATAAAAAAAGCAAAAAAGTATATATTATAATAATAATTGGTGAAGAAGAAATAATAAAAATATATATACAACAAAAAATAATATATTTATTAATGTTACTTGAAACAATAAATACTAAAAAAATTATTATGAATATAGTAAGCGATAGTACTTTTTATACTAATAAGAATATATAAAGAAATAATAAAGAATTATATTTAATAATAATAATACTTTAAAAAATAAATAACGTTAATAAAAATAATAATAATAAAGTAATTATACTAATAAGAATATAAAAAGAGGAAATACTAAAAAAAATTAAAGATATTCTATAATATTATTATTAAAAATATAAAAAGGCAAAAGTAGAAATTGATTACTAATAAAATAATATTGATATGAACATATAATGACTTAATAATAGCTAATAATATTTATAAATATATAAAAAAGTAATATTTATATATTAGTTAAAGAGATTTTTAATATTGTTTAATTATTTATTATAAAAATATTTTTTTATTTTATAATTTATAAAAATTTTAAATAACTTCTTAATATAACATAAAAAACACTTTTTGATAAAATTTAAAAAAATAATAAATATAAAATTTAAATTATGTTGTGACTACTTTGAAGTAATTAAGTTTCAAATTTCTTTAATTAACTCATTCTAAGATTTTAAAAAAGTTTATAGTAGTATAAAATTATGAAACTTTTAAATGTTAAAATAACAAAAGTTTTCTTTATTTAAAAATAATAAAGTTACAGAATATAGATAATAAATGCTTGATGAAAAAATATAATAATAATATCTTCGCAAAAATAGCACTCGCTGCTAAATTATTATAAAAAGTTGACTGGTTTATAATAAAAATTACACTTATATATAAATTTAATCAAATTACCTATTTCCATTCTCCTTACATTTAGAAGCTTCTTCTTTTCTTTCAGTAAAAGTCTTGTTTTCAAGATATTCAATTAGAAATTCCGGTACTAAAAAAGGGAGAATTTTTCCATTAATTATAATAGTATAATATTATTATGTTTACTATATATATCCCATACATAGTTAAATTTATTTGCTATTTATTCTTGACAACTTGATTATAATTATTCCTGTAAATTTTTAAATAAAAGGAACGCTACTCTAATAAACTTAAAATAAATTAAAATGAAATTGGAAGCTTAATTCTGGCTTAATAAATTACCAGAGCTTAAAAAGTTACTTCTTTAATAATATAAATTAAATAATTCTTTATATGAAACCCAAGGGAGAATATATATAGATAACGATTATTCCATTAAAAATAATAAAAGAAATCTCTCTTTCTATTGAATTAAATAGTAGTGAGAAAACTAAAAACAGAATTAAATAAAGGTAAATATATAATTGCCATCATTAAAGTCCTGATAATTAAGATTAGAATAATATAAATCTTTTTCAAAAGTTTCGGATTCACCAACTACGAGCGTCTTCAGTACAGTTTCTTGTAAAAATTCAGGCAAAAAGTCAACCTCTTCATATTCAGATTTAGTTTTAAAAAAACTTGCTGTCATTTATAGTATATATATTTTTTTTAAAAAAGTTTTAATAGTATGTAGTATTGTTTATTAAAAATAAAGTTTCTTTATTATTTTTAGTAATACAAGAAAAGGTCAAGGGTAAATTATCCCAACTACTATTCTGTGCCACACTACAATTTGCAACTTGTAGCACGCTAACAATATTTTTAGCCATAAGACGGTTTCCCTAATTGGGTTGTCAGGGTTAAAGTAGAGAGATTTGCGTTAAAATTGTTATAAACAAACATATAATATTGCCAAACACCTATTTAAATTCTTTTTCTTTTACTTAAAATAATAGTTTAAATTAACCAAAAGGGAGAGTAAAGGGGTAATTAGTAGGACTCCATAATTATAACTAAATCAGGATTTATTATAAAACTTTATCATTACAAGACTCAATTTTAAAGAAAAGTTTTATAATTTAGCGCTGCTTTGAGCAAATTTTAATCTGCTTTCTGTGTTTTACAAACATGTTTTTACTTTTTACAAGATATTATATGTTATATTATTCTTAAAAGTAGCAAAAATTAAACTTTAATACCTCAGTAAATATTCAGGAAATAATTTACCCTTCATGGATACGTTCTTTAAAAATAATAACAATAAACTTTAGCCATCATGACAATATTCAGTCGTACATATTGAAAAGAGAATCAACACCACTTTTGTTTTGAAAAATAAAAATAAAAAAAAAAATGCTAAATTTGCTCGCCATTATATTGTCAGAATATAATAATATTAAGTTCTTTTACATCAAGAAAGCATAAAAATCTTAACAAAAAAAAGTGGGTTAGTAAATAAGTAGTCGCAACTGCATTCAAGTGTAGCTTACAAACTCAATTGTATATTTTTCGTTTTTAAAAAATTTAAGTAAAATTTTAGCAAAACTAGAGTAAGGAACCAACAAGGATTAGAATTTTAAGTTGACCGATATCAATTTTTTTGTGTAGGATATAAAACTATTAAGGTAAAACACTTTTCGGATTTATAGTTTATTTGTTTTTCAAGTATAAAGAGCTATAGTAGAACCAGCGATGTAAAATGCTAATGGACTAGTATTGCACTAGAGCTATCGGAAAAAATATTTTTTTTAAATTTTTTAACTTGTTCTATTTTATTTTATTAAAAGCACGAATGCAAAAGTTTGCATACTTGCCGAATTGAACCTGAATAAGACTTGCTTTATGTATTCATTTTTGTTTGATGAAGCGCGATATTTGCTAATTCTTGAAATGTTGACTAAAAAGTTAAAGACAATCCGTATTTTATTCATTCGCGAAGTGTAAAATTTCCATAATAACCCAAACTATTATTAAAGTTAAAAACTAGTAATAAATTAGTACTGCCTACTTTTTAACGCTCACAAAAAAAGATTGTAGTGGTTACTATTGAAGTTTTATTTTAGAAATAAAGCTTTGTGGTTAAAAATTATTTTTAAATATATCTTGTGATGGCTTCACTGAAGCTTCATAGGAATTGTATATAAAACTAGCCGACATAGATTGAATTGTTATACGATTCAAGTTCAATTTAATTTTCGTTTATTACATAGTTTATGCACCACGCATAAAAGTCGCGCTTTCATTTGTTTTTAAAGTATTTCTTTTAACAGCTAAACGGTAGTAAGGATTCCTTGTAGAATAAGGTTTTAAGGCTAAGTTAAATAAAAAATTTCTTTGCGTGGGCAAGAAAAAATAGAGCAATTACTTTAAAAATATATATTATTTAATCTTAATATTTTGTTTTTTTTTTTAATTTTTAGTTATTTATTTTTAGGCAAATAAAAAGGATTAAAATATATATTTTTTTATTTTTAATATTATACATATATTGCTCTGTTTTATATCTACAATCAACTCCTTATTAAAGAAATTCAATTTATAATTGTTTTTTTATATGTATTATTTTCTAAATATATTCTTGTCAATACTGATATTTCGAGGATAAAGTAAAATTTTTAGGCCTACATTTATGTTTGTCTTCATCAAACCCAAGAGTGTGCGTCCACATGAAAGAGCAGAAAAGTGAGGTATTAAGTATTAATAAAATTTTATTCAAATAACTTTCGTCTGTCCGAATACTATACTTTATAACCCAACAACCTTTATAGTCTTATAATTTCCGCAATATATATAATAACAGATATGATCTTTTTACCCCTTCCTCCAAATAAAGTTTGAAAAAAAACTAGGCCTTGTCCAAGACAAAAGGAAAGGATGGGAAGAGTGAGGCTGCCAGGCATCTCGCCGCCGCCGCCCACTTCGGCTTCGCGGAAACCGACAGCCTCGTTAGCCTTGTTTTTGAACTGAACTTATATACCTCTCACTTTGTTGATATTTTTAATACTTCGTCCCACTTTTTAAGTTACTTTCCAAAATTTAAATTTTTTATTTATTTAATGAACTCTCTACTATTAATACAATCAAAAGGATATCTAAAAAAATTTATTATGGAATTAACGTGGTTCGCTTTTGAGCAAAAAGTTTTTGAAGGTATTAAAGAGGAGTAAATGAGAAAGGAGTAATCTTTGTTTCTTATCTACTGATCTGAGAAAGATTATCTCATTTAATTTTTTATTTTTTTATTATGCTGTACATCCACAAAACTGCAAGTATATGATGTATTTGCTGACCGCTAATTTGAATTTAAATATAATTCTTGAGCGCTAACTTTTAAAATAGTTACACAGTAACTACACAAGAGGTGTGTTTACAATTTTTTAAATTAATTTTCGAGAGTTAATAATAAGTTAGCTAACTAAGTTTGTAAGAATATTTTTTTTGTAGTATGTTTTGATCTTTTGAGTATTTTAAACTGTAGCGTAAAAATAGTAATAAACAGTTTATCGTTTTCGTTTTAAATAGACCTATAAAAAATTATCTGTTGTATTCATTAAATCTATCAAAATTAATTTAGTAACTTCCAAATTTATACCTAACTTTTTAAAATTTTGCTGACGGAGTTACTCCTTTACCGAAGTTGAAAAAGATTTGCTGGTTTTTCAGTTATTTCAGTTTCTTAACTGTGCACTTTCAGTTAAATGAGCTTATAATTGAGGAGTTACGGGTTAACGAGCACCCGACCATAAGTTTGATTTAAAGAATGCGTACTATACGGGCAAAATACTAGTTATAAACACGTTAATAACATGTGCGCACGTGTGCAGCGTACGAAACCTTAAAATGACGCGCCCGCTCTGTCAGGAGTACTCCAATGTAGTTCAATGAAAAAGTTCTAGGTTTATTTTTTCTTTACTAGTTAGTCTAGGCGATATAGATAAATAGTGTGAATTACGTGAAGAAGGGATTTAGGACTAACAAATGAAGTAATAGGAATGATTGGTATTTAAGGTTGGCAAAAAAAAATAATGTTCGAGGAAGTAAAAGGTTAAAAAAAGAGCAGTTAATCGGGCATAAAAAAGCTATGAAATTTTAATATTTAATGACTGTGTTTTTAAAAATTTATATACCAGATATAATTTTTTATGTATAATTAATATATTTTAACAAGTTTATAACATTAACATTAAGTTGGCAGCACCTTCAGTTGGTAAGTTTTATAAAGTTAGTACGGGTCTACAAGTTTAGATAATTAAAACCAAATATATACGGAAAAAAAAAATAATAACAAGAAAGAGCGTTTAATGAGAAAAAAGTTAAGGTATAACCAAATCCAAAGTGGTGAGAAAGTGAATTCAAAAATTAGAGCGAAGAGGTTTAGGTGGAACTACACAAGATTTTAACGATAATAGACTTATAAAAACAGCATCAAGGCGTGAATCGTAATTTTTTTAAAAAATCGAAGTAACGCTTGATTGCTATAAAAAAATGTTTTGCAACGTCAATATACATTATGTTGTACTTTACTAGACTTATTTTGGTATTTGGACTATTCTACAAATATGCTAGAGTTGACAACTCTGCCTATACAACTTTGCCTATGTACTATTTTATTATATAAATAGGTTTTCTGGTTAACCTTCATAATCTTTTTATTTAACAGAGTATATCTATTAGTATGAACAGTGCTTATAAGAGATTAGTATATAAATAAAAGAGCTTAACTGAAGTTATATAAGACCTTTGACTTAAACCAAATATTAAAAAATAAAGCAAATTCTAAGACGCGATGAATGTAGTTATTGTTATACAATTAAGAAAAACAGACAAACGTGAACACAACGATTTACAATTAATCTGCGCGAGTTTGCGACATGGAAACAGTGCCTTATTATTTTACATTTATAAAGATTTGATTGACCCAAGAGGAAACTTTGACTACACTCAGTAGGTGTTAATAAAAAGTAATATAACTGCAGTCAGGAAAACTCTAGCTTAAGTCTATTAATTGCAAAGTTGACGCGGATTCGCAAAAATACAGACGTTATTATCTCACTTTTCAACCGAAACTAACAAAAGATATTAAACAATTATTCTTTCTTTCCTTTCTCTCTTCTTCAGCACCTCCTTTGTCAGGGTAACTTCTGAATAAAATAAATAAAGCTTTCCTCAATTCTTATTTTCGGCTAACTAAACAAAAATTAAAGCGAGTAGTAACAAATAAAAGTTAATAAACTTTCTTCTATTAAGTTACTACCAATAAGTGCCATGCCTTACATTTTTTTAGTTCTCTTGTAAATTAAATTAAATTTACCTTTGTGCGTTGATACAATAATAATAGTAATACTTTTAGGGTTAAAAAAAAAATTGCGTTACTTTCCCATTCTCTCAACACTTTTTTATACTAGGACAAAATAGTTTTTTTTTGAAATATTTCTTTTCTTCAACATAAATGTATCATATTTTAAAAATTGGTTACAGATATCATATAATATTAGTACGTAGAGGCTCGGTACTTTACATAACTCTTCTTTCCATTAGGGTCTACATAAAAAAAAGTTTAGGCTTTTCAGTTAGTAAAACCGATAACAAATACAAACACTGAATTTCTCTAGTATTAGCGATCAGTAAAAAAATTAAGGCTGTGTCCTAAAATGGTCGGAGTACTTTAATCATTACCTCCTCCCACCAACCACGTGGTAATTTCCCTTTATTTTGGGTTTTGCGCTTTACACTTTTGAGTTGACTTTTTCCTCCTTTTATATATATTAATTTTCTATTAAAGATGAGTAATTCATCTTCAAATTTACCTAGAGTTGCTAAGGTTTTTTGTATTTTTCTTTCTTTTGTAGTTTTTTACAACTTTCTTGGTTTAATTTGAAATAAAAAAAAAGGTTAAAAATAAACAACCCGCACCGCAACAAATTACGGCTGAACAAATTTTACGTGATGCGAAAGAACGAATTGTCGAGGAACCAAAACGTCCGAAACAAAGTATAACTGACCCGAAGGAGCTCGAAGAGTACAGGTATTAAATACCATACGTTAAAAATTCTTTTAATTTCTTACCATTTAAAATTGATTTATATCTTTTTTAGTTAATATATATTATGTTTTATTAGGTGTATTAATATTTTTTAATATTAGACGTGAAAAACGTAAAGGTTATGAAGATGCACTTCGCCGAAATAGAACTGTGGTTGGCAACTGGCTTAAGTATGCGAGATTTGAAGAATCTCAAAATCAACTAACACGGTTTATTACTTAAATAATTCTAATTACTAAGTTTTATTAATAATTTATCTTTATATAGTAACTATATACAGTAAATTTTTACACGTACTTCATAAATTATTATAATACTACTTTTACTTAAATTTTTTTATCATACTATTATTTTTTAAAAATAATGTAAAATAATATTATGTGAAGAGCGAGATCCGTTTACGAACGAGCGATTGACGCAAATCACCGCAATGTGACGATCTGGATGAAATATAGCGAAATGGAATTGCGCAATAGAAATATTAATCACGCGAGAAACATATTTGATCGTTGCGTTTCGATAATGCCACGTGTTGACCAGTTTTGGTAGATTTATATCCAAAAACTATTATCAAATTATTATTTATTTACGGTCTACTTAAAGAAGATAATAATTAAATTTTGTAATAAATAATTTTTTAAAAAAATAAATATTATTTTTTAAAGGTTATAACTTTTTCTTTATTTATTTATAATATTATTTGGAAAGGTACAAGTATGCATACGTTGAAGAACTCCTCGGTAACGTTGGCGGCGCTCGTCAAGTATGTTATTATTAAAAACAATTTATGCTTTTGCTTAATTTTGTTTATCTGGTTTGTTTTATTTATTATTCACTTTTTATTTACGTTATTAAAATTTTTAAACGTTTTAGCGCAATTTATAATTTATAACCTATTTTTTATTTTACTTTAGATTTAGATTTATTTGAATTTTTTTACTTGATTTAGAGTTTATTATAATAATTTTTACCATTTAATTTTAAATTTAACTAATTTAACAAAAATTTTATAGCTATTTTGAATTTATACGTTATTTAGTTTTATAGTTATTATTATAATTATTTATTATGTAAAGGTCTTTGAAAGATGGATGGAGTGGGAACCAGGAGAGCAAGCATGGCTTTCTTATATAAAAATGGAACTTCGTTATCGCGAAACTGAACGTGCCAGACAAATATATGAAAGATGTTATTATTATTATTATTGTAGTAGTTGTTTTTATATTAATAACTTAACAGTTGAATATATTCACAATATAAAAAATGAAAATATGAAGAGTTATTATAATAATTATAATATAAAAGTTTCTTACTAAAAGAATTACTGTTGTGCATGTTATATTAAAACTTTTTTGAACTGGTTATAAAACTTTTTATTATCACCTTTAGTATTCAGTAATTTTAATAATTTTTACACAAAAAGAATTTATTATTTTGATTTTTACTGGTTATAATCCTTCTAATAAAAAAAGTTTAATAATTTTATGAATATTTTTTATTCGATGCTTACTATTTTATATATTTTTTGATTAAAATCGCACAACTTTATGTATAATTTTCTGTAAAACTTTTATTATTTTTATAGGTTGATTTTTTATATATATTCACATAATTTTTATTAAATTATTTTTTTTATCTTATGAATTTTTATTACTTATATGGTTATATATTTTTTTTGCTTAAATGAAAATATTTACAGAACAAAAAATTATTTAACTTCATGAATTTTATTTATATATTTAAAATCGCAAGCATCACACAATATGGCATAATAATTTTTTTTATAATCTGATTGGCTAAGATTTTAAATGTTCGCGGAAAAATCTTAAATTTTTTATGCTTTAATTTTTTTATATTTATATTATATATATTAACGGTTTTCCTTTTTTAAATTATTTACTCTATAATAATTCTTGTGAAGATTTTACATTTTTTTGTGGGTAAGTTTGCTTATTTTATATAAATGCAGTTATTATTGTTCATCCGGAAGTCAAGAATTGGATAAAATATGCAAAGTTTGAATATAGGCATATGCGTGACCAATGTGCCCCATTATTATTATTATTATTATTATTATTATTATTATTATTATTATTATTATTATTATTATTATTATTATTATTATTATTATTATTATTATTATTATTATTATTATTATTATTATTATTATTATTATAATTATTAATTATTATTATTAAAGTTAAGGCTCGAAATATATATGAACGTGCTGTTGATTTTTTCGGAAAGGACTTCTGCAATGAAGATTTATTCATTGCATTTGCTGAATTCGAAGAAAAATGCAACGAGGCATTTATTATTATCGCTATTAATATATGTTATTGTTATCGTTACTATTATTATTACTATTCTATATAGTTTGAAAGAGCACGCGCCATATACAAATACGCCCTAGAATTTTTAGATAAGCTTACCGCACCAAAACTTTTCAGTTTATATAGCGCTTTTGAGAAAAAGTTTGGTGATCGCGCTGGAATTGAGGATATTTTACTATCGAAAAAGCGAATGACTTATGAAAAAGTTTGTATATGAATAATAGTAATATTAATACTAATAATTTCAACAATAATAAATATAATAATAATAGTTATAATAATATAAAGGAAGTTCTAGAGAATGGAAGAAACTATGATGCCTGGTTTGATTATGCAAAGTTGGAAGAAAGTTACGGCGATTTGGCAAAAATACGAACTGTGTACGAGCGTGCCATATCCAACATTCCTCCGGAGCCGGTTTTTTTTATTATTGTAATACCTTTAGTTATTTATTACTATTTTTATTTATTGAAAGGAAAAAAGATATTGGCGGCGATATATTTATTTATGGATTTATTATGCGGTTTTCGAAGAGCTCGTCGCAAAAGTTATTACTTCCACTTTTTATACTTTTTTTGTTTTTGATATTATATATATATATTATCTTTACATTTATTATTCTATATTCTTTATTAAATTTCGTTTATATCATAATTATGTTACCACCAGGATATTGAGCGCACGAGAGATGTGTACAACGCGGCTTTAAAAATTGTTCCGTCAAAAAAGTTTAGTTTTTATATAATTTTTTTTATTATTTTTCATTATTTTTTTGATAGTTTTACATTTGGGAAACTTTGGCTCTTATTGGCTCATTTTGAAGTGCGCCAGAAAAATATTGAGAAAGCGCGTAAGATTCTTGGCCACGCCATTGGCCTCTGCCCAAAGGATAAAGTTTTTAAAGGAATTTCGTTATACTTTTATTATTTTTATACTATCGCTTATCGATAAATTTATTTTGTAGCGATTGGCTTTTATATATTTTTATTTTTTCTTAGATTTTTACTATATGATCATTTTCTTTATTATTGAATTTATTATTGTTGTTACTATCATCACTTTAGGCTACATTGAATTAGAATCCAACTTAAGGTGCTTTGATCGTTGCAGAGTTATTTATGAAAAATATCTCGAGTTCAACCCAGCAAACTGCACCACGTGGATTAGCTTTGCTAAAATGGAGGCCGAGCTTGGCGACTACGAGCGCGCAAAAGGTGGTATTTATTATTATTATTATAAAAATATTTGGAGTACATTTATTTTTTGTTAAACTTTATTGTTTATTTTTCTTTATAATTATTATTAGTTTTAAAAATATTATTATTATATAAAAACTTTTGTTTTACATTATTTTTTATTTGTTTTTTTTTTACTTTTTAAAAATATATTATAAAAGTAAATTTTTATTGCTTCGTGTATTAAAACTTTATCGTTTATATGCTTATTATTTAAAAAAAAGATTATTAGTATTATCAAAATTTTGTTTTTCTTAATCTCCTATGTATTTTTTCTTTTACATAACAATTTTAGTATAATTTTTTTTTATTTTGGTTTGTATTATTAAAAGTTTAAAAAAAGTTATTATTATTATCTCTATTAGTTTTAAATAAGTTATTAATAATATTATTATTAGTTTCAAAATAATTTTTATTATCATTATTAGTTCTAAAAAGTTATTTTTTTTTAAGGATTATATGAGTTGGCTATTAACCAGGAAGTTTTGGACATGCCGGAGTTATTGTGGAAGGCTTATATCGACTTTGAATACGAGGAAGGTTATTATTATTATTATCACTATTATTAATAATAATAATATTATTATTATAGAAAATTACAAGGAAACTCGAAATTTGTATAAGAAATTATTAAAAAGAACACAACACGTGAAAGTATGGATATCTTATGCAAAGTTCGAGGCTTCCTTAACAGATGGCCAAGCTCGTATTTTTTATTGCTTTTATTATTATTTATTACTTTTATTACTCATAACCTTTAGAAGTTCGAGCCCGTTCAGTATTTGAACAAGCTCATCAATGCATGAAAGAAAATGGTACAATAAAATTTTATTAAACTTTGTCTATTTTTTATTATTTTATTTAACAGAGCTTAAAGAGGAACGCTTATTGGTGCTCGAATCGTGGCTGGAGTTCGAAAAGGGAACTAACGATTTGGATCGAATTAAAGCACTTCAAGAAATGATGCCTAAAAAATTAAAAAAACAGCGACTTATTGATCCCAACGATGTTAATTATTATTATTTTATTTATTATTTTATTTATTATTATTATGTAGCCTTCGGCTGGATTGGAAGAATATTATGACCTTTTATTTCCGGACGCTAAAAGTAAAGCATCGAACTTTATTCATATGGCTCATTTGTGGAAGCAAAAACAATTGGAACAGACCAATCAGCTTCAAAGTCAATAGACAAGAATAATAATTGGTATTTTTAAGAAAATAAAATAAAATATTTTTATTAGAAGAAATTTTTATTGTTGCTTATTTCTATTATATATTGTTGGCTTCGTTTATCTTTTGAGTTACGAAAAGTTTGAGATCTTTAGGATATTCTTTTATATCTGCGATTTTCTTAAACTCTTTATAAAAAAATCGCACATCCATTTGAATTCTAAAGTTTATAATAATAATAATAATAACGATAACATTCATAATTATACTAGTAAAAATAATAGAAATAACTATAATATTTATAATAATAATAGTCTTAATTACCTTTTTTGGACGTTATTTTCGGAGAAGTTTAGTTTTTCATAAAAGCTTTGTAGCTGTTTAGAATACATTATATAAATTCTGCTTAGTATTACCTTCAAAAATAGTAAAATAAATAATAATATTAATAATAATAAATAATGATAACATTCTGCCTTGAAGGGTCCAATAAATTTTTAAGAACTTTATTAAGGCGAATTGTTTGTTCTATAATCCCTTATATAATATTTAGTTTATTTTTGATTGTTTATTATTATTGTATTACACCTTTCATATAGTCTGAAGCAGAATCTGTTGGTACTTTTTCCCAACTCACTTGTTTCTAATGTAATAATAATAATATTAATAAAATTAATAAATAAATAATACTGTATTCCACTGATGAAAAAGAACGTCTTCCATAATATTCACTATTTTTTGTATGAGTTTTTCAATATGATTTAAGTAATCCTTATAAAAAAATATTTTTAATAAACCAGTAATATAAAATTGATAAATTAAACCAATGAAATGCTATCGAACTCTGATAAAAAAAGTAAATGTTTTGTCGATAAGCGTTTCGATAAAAGAGACTTTAATAGAGGAAGTTGAAGTAAAATTACTTGAAGGGATTCTGATGATAATGCTAATAAATATAAGATATATTAAAAAAGTTATAATCTAAAAAAAATAAAATAAAATATAATTATAATATCAAAAAAAAAATAAATCAAAATATTATTTATACTAAGATAGTTAAAATAAAAAATTAAGGAATTATCTAATAAGAATATTTAAATAAAATAAAAATATAAGTTTTATAAAAGTTTATAAAAAAAGATAACATAAAATAAAAAAAATAAAAATATCCAAAAAATTAAAAAAAAATATAAGTGAAGTATTATTATCTAAAATATAATAAAGTAAAATAAAAATAAAAGTATCATCTACTAAAATAAATTATATAAAAATCAAAAAAATAATATCATTTAATAATATACAAATAATTTTAACAAGAAAAATACAAATAAAAAAATAAGTAAAATAAAATTTACCAAAAAAAAAAATAAAAGAAAAAAACGTTATTTTCTGAATACTTATACTTATACTAAATAAAATAAAAAAAATATTAATTTTTTTATATAAAAAATTCAATTCCTTTAAAAGTAAAATCGAAATCGTATTTAAAAATAATAAATAAAAATAAAAACAAGCAAAAGTAGTATCAATTGCATACTAAAAACAATAGTGAAAAAAAGTTGTAAAAGTTTTTTATAATATAATATTTATAAGATTTTATTATTTATTATTAAAAGTAAAAAACATTAATAAAACGTAAAAAAGAAAGTTTAATAAAAATTTTAAATAGAAATTTTATTATATTATATGAAGTAAATAAATATATATTTATTAAAAGTTTTAATATAAGTTTTTCCTAATAATATTGTAAATTATATGTCGGAGAAGGAGAGGAGAAGCAATCGATTTATTGTCCCGTGCAACGTACAAATTGTGGGACAAATATAGAAACACGTGCTATGAGCTCGTGGTACGGAATGAGACACATGGTTACATGTACCACGGGGTATGAGCACGTGATTTATAAGAGTGGACTCCAACATATTTCATTTATTAAAAATGAATAAACTAAAAATATTATAAAAATAAATAACTAAATTTAAAATATACAAGTTTTATACAAAATTTCTAATAAATAATATTCAAAAATTTTAAAAACTTTTTTTAGTTTATATTATTAAAAATATATAAATAGTAAAGAGTGTCAAATACAAAAAAAATGGCAAGTATTATATAATAGCGTACAGCACGCTGGGAGACCTGCTTTACCTTAATCATAACAATTTATAAATATTTTGCGTTATTAAATATATTAAAAATATCCATTCAATGTATTAATGGTTATTAAAAGAGCCCAATTATTTCCTTTTTTTTAATGATAATTAAAAAATACATAAAAGTTTGATTAAAAATTTTTTAATAGACTAAATTATTATTCACAGTACTTTTTTTTATCTATTATTCAAAAATATATATATATATTTATAAAATAATAACTTTATAATAAAAATTATTATATATTTTTGTTACTTTTTTATTATGAAAAATATAGAAAAAATAAATATTTTTGAAAAGTTTTACAATTTTTTAGTTTATATTAATAATATATATGTTTTTATAAAATATATAAAATTAATATTAAAGTGCTGGTAAATTTTTTAATGTACTATAATAATACATAAATCTTATAACTGTTATTAAAAGTATAGAGTTTTAAAACTTTTTGAGTAACTGTTACTGGATATTTTTTTATTTCTTTTTTAAAAGTAAATAAATAAAATATATACAAAAGTTTGATTATAAGTTTTGAAAAAAAAATAATCACCAGTACTTAAAAGTAAAAATAAAAAATATTATAAAAAGTTTGAAAACTTTTATAATTTATTTCGTTAAATAATTAATAAATATATAAATGAATATGATATAAAAGTTTGATTAAAAGTGTCTAATAAATAATATAATGAATTTTTTAATAATTTTTATTATTCCGTTCAAAAAGTACATAATAATAAAAATATAAAAGTTCAAAACTTTTTAAATAAATTATTATTATAGTTTATAAAACTTTATAACTTTTAAAAGTAATGAATAAAAATATTTTTTAAAAACTTTTAAAACTTTTTTAGTAAAAAATTATTATCTTTTTTGTTAAAGAGAGAAAACAATATAAAAGTTTTCATAAGTTTTATTAAATTCTTAATGTGATGTATAGTAACTCTTTCTTACTTTATCAAAAGTAAATAAAATTTGGGAACGTTTTTATAACTTTTTAATCAGATATTATTATTATGTTATTTATTATTTAATTTAAAAAAATTAAATACAAATTATAATAAAATAAATTTTTAATATAATTTTTTAATAGATGGAAAAATTAAAAAAAAATATAAATATTTTAAAAAAAATTATAACTTATATATATTATTATAATTATTTTATTCCGTAATTAAAAGTAAATATATAAACAAAAAAAGTTTTCATAAAAGTTTTTAATATATTAAAAATTTAATTTATAACTTTATTTATATTAAATTTTTAAGAAAATGAAGTATTATAAAAGTTTTTTATTTTCTAGTAGGAATATATATTATAGAAGTTTTTACTAATAACTGTCGCATAATAAATTTTTAAATAAAACTTTTTCATTTATTATTATAATAAAACAATAAATACATAAAAAATTTATATAGAAAAGTTAATTATATTATAATATTTTTATATTTTATGATAAATTATTAAAATTTTTAATAATTTCATAAATAAATATTATAATAATTAAATTTTTTTTTAACTTTTAATAATAATATATTTACTAGCATAAATGTTTTAAATAAGGAATAAAAATTGTAAGTATATATATATAACAAATAACACCTAAATAGAAACTTGTAATTAATAACCTTAATAGTTATAATATAAATAATAATAATATAAATTTGAATATAAAATATATTTTAATATGTAAATATTAATAATACAAATATAATATTAATATTATTAATATAAGCAAGAACCGATATGCTTGGCAGTAACTTTTTTCAATATTTTTAAAGAAACTACTTCGGCGCTTAAAATTAAATCGTAAGACTTGCTATTGTACAACTAATAATAAGAAATAATAATAGTAATAATAGTATTAAAGATACGAATAAATAAACTTTTAGAATTTCGATGAGCCCGTTTAAAACTTCCAGAGTAATTATTCGAAAATCTTTTCAAAAAGTAAAAATTTAATAATAATGATAAGCAATATTATTAAAAAATTTAAAAATTATCATAAGTAAAAGTTTTATATTCATAAAGTATAAATAAGTTTAATATATTACCATGATCAATTGAACAAGCTAAATAAAAATCATCATAAAGTTTATAAAATATGTAAGAATAACTTTTCTATAAAATAGTAAAAATATAAAAAAACTGATAATATATAAAATATATATTATACAGTATAAAAGAAAGAATTACTTTGATAATAATAAAAAGTTTAGTAGAAACAATATAAAGTAATAAAAATAATGAATTTTATAAACTTATTTCAAACCAAAACAAGTATGAAAGTAAAAAAAAATAGTAAATAATAATATTTTAACAAATAAATATACAGATAGTAAAGCATAATATTTAAACTATATAATTATTGTCGATAAGAAGTTATAAAAAATTTTTGATAGTAAATTTACTATGAAACGTTTAAAAAAATAATAAAAAAATATATCATATCTACAAAAAAGTTATAGAAGTAATTATGTTAATAAGAAGTTCTATTTAATATAAAAAGTTATAAAATAAAGAAAAAATATAAAATATTATAGTCATTTCATAAAAATAATAATATCAAGTTTATTAAAATAATTATTATTAGAAGAGGATACTCTGTAAACAAAGTTTTAATATAAAAAAAAGATTGAATTTAAAGAAAAAAAAATTTTGTATTAAGTAAAAAATATATAAAAAATTTATATATTAATATTATCAAAGATACGTCCATAAAATTATATAAAAATTTAAAAAATATATGTAGAAAAAATATAAAACAATCAAAAAAAGTATAAATATGAATATTATTTTAATGAAGAATCCTTATTAAAACTTTATTTGAAACTAAAAAAAATTAACAAAAAAGCTAAAAAGTAAACATAATTTAATAACAGCCAATAAAAAACTAGTATAATATAAAATGGCCAATAAAAACGAAAACAAGAATATTTATTTATTTTGTGGGATATAATTTTTTATATTTAACGCCTGATTCGCTAAATAGCACGAATAAAAAAAATTACAGCAAATAATTGCCAGCAGTTTATTTAAAAAACTGCCACCTAAAAGAAGTTAGTATAAATAAGAAAAAGAAACCAAAAACCTTAAAAAATAAAGCAATTTTCATAACGGCAAACTAAAAAACATGAATGAAGAATTAAAAAAACCTTTTGAACACTTGCTATACTCGCTCAAAAGTTTAAGGAACATCAGAAGTGAGCCGGTCACAGCGAATCTCTGCTCATTAACAACGAGGTAATGGCTGGCAGACTCAGCGGGGTCCCTAATTATAAGTTGTTATTATTATAATAAATATTAATGTTAATAGTTTCATCATCTTATGGATATTATTTACTATTTACTACATATTAGTTATTATTATTATAAACAGCCTTTTCTTTTGAGAAGAAAAGTTTAGAGATTCATAAAAGTCCACAGCGGGGTCTTCTATTTTCTTTTTTTAAAATAATAATAAAGGGAGTAGTAATAATAGGAAAATAATAATGATAATAATAGCAATAAAAAACCTTGAAAGCGTCCACTAAAAGTTGAAAGTCATATGCCACATGAGCGCGCTTCCACACTTCATTGTCCCAATGACGAAGAGAGTTGAGTCATTCTCTTCGAATGAAACTGCTCAAAATACAACCGGAGCTGAGAAATAATAATATTATCTTAATTATTGTTGTTCACTACTATGTTACCAAGGAAAGTAGCTCTCTTCTAACAGGAGAGCTCAACGAACCTTAAAGTTAGTGGAAAAAAATAACAGAAGCTTTTAAAAATAAATTTTGCAGAACAGGGTACCACGGGACGTAGAGCGTTCAACAAAAGTAGCCACGCGTTCATACAGCTCCGCTGCTTGGTTGTAAGGAACTTTTAATATGTCCGGAGTGCGGCTCTTCAGGAGCTTCGCAATACGTTTATGAATCAGCTATTATCATTTATTATTAAGATATAAAGTAAATAAAATTTTGTAAAGTTAAAGAATTCATTATAAATTTAAAAATAATAAATAACAAATGATGAGTAAAACCGATTATTATTTATTATCACAATGTATTACTCATTATTATTATAATTATTGATTATTAATATCATTATTTCGACCTCAATAATATTGTTTATCATTTCTTCTCCATCTGGTTTCAACAAATCCACTAAAATATCTACAATTTAGCTAGAAAGTGACCACGTGGTGAAATAAAAGCAGCATAAAACATAAGAACCGCCAGAAAAGTCATCAGAAATTGAAGCATCTGATTCGCTCTGACACTCTCCAACGAGTGAGGTTTGTCTCGTTATCTGGGGAAGACCAATGACGTCATTTTCTGAATTGACCATTTTTTTCAAGTTTCTTTCGCGAAATTTTTTTCGAGGAAAGAAAAAATTCGAGTTATCGTCGACGCTCACGTGACTTCTATGGCCCCGTGGCATTTCCAAAGGTTGAGGAAACAAATCTTCCAATAGAAATCGCACAGTTTTCACGTTACATATTAAGGTGTCCATGTGCTCTGATAGAGAGATTAGAAAAGCCACAAACAATTCGCTATTCATCTCCTCAACAGCTCTGGAAAGTCTAAAGCAAAAAAAATAAAAACGTCCAATAAAAATTCGCAAAAATCATATAAAGACGAATCAGAAAAATAAAAAATAAAACTGACTTTAAAATTTTAGAACTTTTTTTATTCGAGTTTAGAAAGTTTTGTGTAATCTATAATAAAAGTAAAAATAAATATTAACTTCTATGAAATAAATAATAAGAACAATGTTTAATGAACAAAACTTTCATAAACGTTAAAAAATTCAAAAGTAATAAAAATTTTTAAAAAAGCTACTTTCTTTTATTACAATTTTCATTTTTGTCTTTACGGCGGCAACCAATGAGCGTTCAAACTGTGGGCGAAATTCAGTTTTCTTCAATCGTATTAGTCCGTTCACATACGGCTGCAGAATCGCCTTGTCCTACCAGAAGAAGTTTAAATGTACACACTTTAACAAAAATGCATCAAAAGCGGCAGGAAAAAGTAACGTCTTCTTGGATTGTCCGCGAACATTCCGTGGAAAGTTCAACACTGATTCGAATAAATTCCGTTTCTATTAGTTTATGAATAAAAGTTTCCATCTCGGATAGCTGGACGCTCAAGTCTCTGCGTTTCATAAGAATATATAATATTTATTAACAATGAAAATAATGATAATAAAAAAAAATAATAATAACTTAAAACTTTGCACGCCCTTAAGATCATGATTTATAATTTGATTGGCCGTAGAAATGAGGTTAAGCGCTCCAACATAATCTGAACCAATAAGAGAAATGTAAAAATCATTTAGTACTGAGCATAATTATAATAAATACGCATCATTAAGATTATTAAAAAATATATCATTGAAAATTTATGAAAAATTCACAATATTTTTAAAAATTACCTGCGGAAGATAATAACTCCTTTATAGTTTTTTGAGTGGATCGCACAGTAGAAACTACTTTCAGCTGTAACAAATTATTATTAATATTAGTACTATTAGTAGTATTATTACTGCTATATTTACATTTGTTATTATCTTTCTTACTTCACGGTATTATAAAAATGATGTGTTCGAAGAAATATTTTATTTATTAGTGTATTGCTATTTTGCTTTTTATTATATTTGTGTGCTAAAAAAGTTATTTTTATTTACTTATTAGTTATTATTATGTAATTTCTTTTATAATAAAAAGTATATAACTTTCTATTATTGACATAAAATTTTATTATAAAAATTAGTAAATTTGCTATATTCTTTATTTATACTATATTTTACTAAACTTTTTGCTTTATTGTTGATACATACTTTATTAAAAAAAAACCTTCTCATGTAGAAGCTCAAGGTTCTTCTTTTTTCTTAATAACTTAAATAACTGAAAGCCTAATAACAATAGTAAATAAAAATAATGACAATGAAAATAATAATAGAAAGGATAATAAATAATAAATCGCCTGGATACGTTAACTTTTCATCGACTTTTCTTAAATGATTTCTGTAAATAAATAATAATGAGAACAAAAAGTTGCTAAAACATTTTTACTTATAAAATTTTTTTAAAATAATAATAATAATTATTATTTTTAAGCTAAAGTAAGTGAATAAAATTATAATAAATGATATGATAATAACTATATAAAAATATATTAAATATACTTCAAAGTTATAATATATAAATGACTATTATAGAAATAATAAAATACTTATAACTATATAAAAATTTTTAATAGATGACATTAATAATTGTAATAAAGTAAAAATAAATAATGATAAACAAATAGCAAACAACTTTTTATATTAAAACATAATAAATATAAATAAAAAAGAGTATAATAACGTAAAAAAGTAAAAATAATCGTTAATATAAGTATACATATTAAAATAAATAATAAATACTATAACAACTAAAAAATAAGAATAAATTTTAAATTTTAAATATAATAAAATATAGAAACAAAAATTATAACATATAAAAAACCTCAACTTTTTCTTATTATTTACTAAATAATAACTCAAAATCATATAAAATAATTTTTACATAAATAATAATTTTTTATTTATACTAAAATTAAAAAAAGTTATAAAAAGGAAAGTATATATTAATAAAAGCAACAAAATAATTACAAAAATATTTATATAATACTCAAAAATTTTAAATTATAGTAATAACTAAAATCTCAATAAAAATAAATAAAGAAAAAAGTAAAAAAGCTTGCATATAAAAAAATTGTACTAAGAGATAATAAAAACTGAAAATTAATAATAAACAAAATAATGAAATTCTACAGCCAATTAAATTAAAAATATAAAATAAATAGATGACCAATAAATTTTCTTAAAAATTAATCAACGCAATAAAATATAAAGTAGGTAAAAAATATATAATAATTAGAAAATAAGATATAAATATCTTTATAATAAAATTTTTAAAAAAATAAAAACTAAATAAAAGAAAAAAATAATAAAGAAAAAGATATTTGCTCTTGTAATTATAATATTATAAAGATATGAAAACAAAATTTAATGTATTATTTATAAATAGTAAAAATAATATCAAATAAAACGAGCTTTATTTAGATAATCATAATAATATGTAATAAGAAAAACAAAATAAAAATATTTTCATTATAAAACTTATAAAAAAAAGAAAAAATTATTAGTAAAGATAATAATAAATAAAACAAATATTAATAAATTATATGAAAATAAAAAAATACGATATATAAATTTTTATGATAATATTAAATATAAAAAAGTAAAAAGAAAAGTTTTCGAAATAAATATACAAAAATAGTAATATATAAGATAAATAATACTAATATAATATTTTTATTAAAATAATAAAATAAAAAATAACACCAAACAATCATTAATAAAATATATAATACTAAAAAAAAAAAATTATTATAATAATTTTATAATAATAATAAATAATAATAAACACTAAATAATAATAGTGTGGTGAAACCTTATAGTAGACATTTGAAGGCAAGTGGAGGAAATATTCGATGTCAACTCACGAAACGAATCAAGTAATTGGAAAATTTCTTCGCTGCTGCTCAATGAAAATAATGAAAAGAACACCAAAAATTTAGAAAATATATAAGAATAAAGTAAGAATAAAGATAATATTAATTGTAAGGAAGTGAAAAATAATTAAAAAATTAATTCGCGCTACAAGGAGCCATAAAAATAGTGATAAAATTTAAGCACCAAAGAGAAATGTTAAAAACACAAAAATTATTTAATAAAAAAAATTTTTTTGTTGCACTAGATATAATGAAACTGTATTAGCGCTAAAAAATTGCGCCAAAAAACTTTTATATTATAAAAACTTTTTAGCTATAAAAAAACCGCATGCGAAAAAAAGTTAAAATTAACTATTGATGCCATTATAAAAATTACAGTTAATACTTATCATTATGTGCATATTTCTATGCAATAACAGAACTTTTGTTAGTAAAGTATAAAAGTTGAATTACTTAGTGACAAAAGTTTATATATAATAAAAATATATTTATTTTATTAATATATAAACTCATTTTTCCTTATATTATAAATAATATGAATTATAATCAAGAACTTTAATTAATAATAATAAATCCAAAATTGTAAGAAAAATAAAGTCATAATAAATAAAAATGATAACAAAAAATAATGTAGGATTCTAATAGTTAACTTTTACATATAAAAGTTTAATGCGAAAAAAAGAACTGTAAAAGTTATAATAAAGATAAAAACATACAAAAAACTTTAGAAAGTAAAGTTTAGATTTATAAAAAAATAAAATCATAACAAAATGTTAAATAAAACAATAATAAACTTTTTAATAAGAAATGAGGAAAAAAATTAAAAAATTATTTAAAACTCATTAAATAATAATAATACTGGATTTACTTACTAAAAAAAATAAGAAAAGCGTAAGTAATAATGAATTAATAAAAAGTATTAAGTAAAATTCTAAAAGCTAGAAAAAATAAAAAAAAAGAGAAAAAAGAGTTTTTTCAAAATATATTAAAATAATTTTACTATTGAATAAAACAGAAACAATTAAAAAAAAAAATTTCAAATATACCGCGAAGAAATCTGAGAGGCCAAAAGTTGCTCAACTCGATCCAGCACGAGACCGTACTGAAAATGAAAATAGTTATACACAATATTATTATTATAAAAGAATTTCAAATTTGATATTTAAAAAGGTCAACTACAAAAAAGCATGATATATATATAAAAAAAATTTACATATAAGTAAAATTCTAATAATAATAAGTGAATGTCTAAAAATAAAAATTTTAAAAAAATAGATAAAATTCTAAAAATAATTTGAAAAATAAACCTAATAAAAAGACTTATTGCGTATAATTAAAATTCTAATAATAATATTGTAATATATAAATATAAACATGTTTTTACATATTAATATAATTCTAATAATAGTAATTTAATGAATAATTTTAAATATTTTTTAATATAAATAAAATTCTAATAACAATAATTTGAAAAATAAATATAATGAAAAGATTTATTGTGTATAATTAAAATTCTGATATTAATAATGTAATAAGGAAATATAAATTTATTACAAATTAATATATATAAATAATAACAATAACTCAATGAAAAGGTATAAATAATTTACAAATTAAATTCTAATATAAAAAAGATAATAAGTATTTTACAAACAAATAAATTGCTAATAACAATTATTTTATAAATAAAAATAAAATCTTTAAATAATAGTTATGACTAATATATAAATTATTATAAAAAGTAGCTATCATTCACTTTATATTGATATATATTCTATTTTACTTGCAAATCTTCTTAAATTCCGGTGATAAATTATTTTTTTAATTAATAAATAATTATTATTTATCAAGATAAATAACTTACAAAAATCATTATAAATAGTAATAAACTAATTATAATAACTTTTTAATACATATAATAAAAATAAAATTAAACAACTAACAAAATATTATAAGTAGTTAAAAATATAATAGTAATAATAATAGCTCTTAAAATTTAAATATAACAATAAAATAACTAACAAAAAATATTCGTAAATAATAAACTAACACTGATTATAACTTTTATATATAAATAAATAACAAATAAATAAAAAAAAACTAATAAAAAATATACTTTTATAAATATATACAAAAAAAAATTTACATTTTTTTGTAAAAATTGAAGCCATTCAGAAAAGGAAGAAAGTGAATCGCTAATAAATTCATTAATATGAAAAGTTATTATTATAATGATTCTCATTATTTTCATAACTATCCATTTAAAAAAAATTTATATATATTGAATAAACTTTATAGTTTACATAATAATAATTATAATGTTTATCACATACATAAAGGTTAATAACATAATAATAATACAAAATAAATATTTTACTAGTATGAAGAAAATATAAATTTTAATTATAATGATACAAAAATGAAATAATTGTAACAACTTCCGAAAATATTAAAAATAATAACTCATCAAAAAACTAACAAAAAAAAAATTTGAAACTGTTTAGTAAAAAAAAAACTATCAAAAAGTATCAACTAAATAGACATAAAAAAATTCTAAAAAACAATAAATGAAAAGCTGGAAAAAATTTTTAAATATAATAAAACTTTTAAAATAATAAATATAATAAATTATTTAGAAACTTTTTATTAATATTAATAAAAAAATTGATAAAATTTTAGCGAAAATAAGATAATATTAATATTTAAACGAAAATTAAATATAAGATTATCATTAAAATAATAGAAAAAACTATTATTGAAAATAAATTAATAAATTCTAAAATTAATTTAATACAATCAATTAAAAAAATAATTATTATAATATATCAAGTATATAATATTTCTATATTTTATAGCAATAATATATAAAAAATATTAAATAATTATTATTATTATAATTAATAATAACTAAAATTAATTTTACTAAAATTTCTACCAAAAATAACATATTAAAGAAAGAAGTACAAGCGATTGTCCGAATGCAGAATTCCCGCGCCAGAAATTAAAAACTCAAAAGTTTCAAGAGCGTTAACATTATAATCTTCTCGAAAAAAAACCTTTTTGAAATAAAAAAGTTAAAAAAATTAAAAAGGTTGCTTTAAAAAAAGATGGAAATAATTTTTTGTAAAAAAAAGTACAGTATAAGTCTTAAGAATTAAAATAATTTTGATAAATTAAGAAAAAAACCTTTTAAAATATAATAATGAAATTAAAATATTTTCTAAAAAAAAGATGAAATCGTCTTTATAAAAAACTCTGCAAAAACAAAAAGAGTAAAGATTTTATAAATTGTACACCAAAAAAATTTTAAAATATTCATTAATAAGAATAAGCTGATTCTAAAAAATTTCAACAAAATTGAAAAAAAATAAAATTTAAACTTTAGTAGTTAATTTTCAATTTTTTAGGTATTAACTACTATAGAGTTTATAAAAATTATAATAAATTTTCGTAGAATTAAGTATTTATAAATATTAAAGGATATATAAAAAAAACTATAAATAAAAATTAATTACGCAGAGATTATATAAATATTGAATTTCATCTAATTTTAGAGAAATAACTTATAGAACCTTATAATATTGAAATAATAATTTAAAAAGAAAAAGAAAAGATAATAAATTACTTATTTAATAAAAAAAGCAAAGAACTGTGCTAAAATTAACTTCTTCATAAGCTAATTAGTGATAAAAATAATGATAGTAAATAATTTTATTTAATTAATTTTATAAAATTCAAAAAAGAAATAATAGAGAAAAAGATATCTTAAATTTTAAATTAATAAAGCAATAACCTAGTTAAATTAATAAACTCAAGTTAAACATTAATTAAAAATTAAAAAGTGCACAACTTTCTAAAGAAATTAATATAAGAAAAGAAACGAAAGTATGAAGATAATAAAACAAAAAAAATTAAGGCGGAAATTCCAATAAAAATTAAATAATTCTCTACTTCTTAATTATAATAAAATAAGAATAATAATTTTATGAAATGTACCTTTGAATAAATTAAAATTTTTAAAAAAAGGAGAAGTATAAAAAAAGGAATTTTCATAAAAGTAATATAAACATTAAAAGATAAAAAAACTCAAAAATTTGAGTAAGCAAATTAGTATATTACATAAAGAAAATTGCGAATAATATATACACTTAGGAAATTATATGAAATTTAGAAGCACATAAGAATTTTTAGTGTGTACAGTACCTCAGGAATATCGGAAAGTGCTGCGCTGAGATTAATTTCTTGTTCTTTACAATAATTTTTATAGATACAATAAACTTTCAGGGAATGAAAATATATATAAACCTTTCCTAGAAAATTCGTTATTTAAACAATTCGATAAAAAAAATTTAAATTCTTCCTTCAAGTAAAACAGTTTTATTATATAGAAATATAAATCTTCAACTAAAGTACCTGCAAAAGGAATGCTGGGGAAAAGACAGAACTCTTAAAAGTAATATGGGGATAACTTATATATGGAATTGTCTAATAAATTTATAATTATAAAATAATTATTTTTATTCATAACGAAAGTAGTAGATAGTACTTCTAACTTTTATTTTTTGTATGTATATAAAAAAAGGTAATACAGGAGAAGTAAAGGAAGAACCCCAATCTCTGCTAAGCAGATCTATTTTTTCTCGAACCGTCTTGAAAACGTTATATAAGTAAAGTTATCTAAATTTTTAGGAAAAATTTTACGGGATCACTAAGTACAGTAGCAAAGCTTTGCTTAAAATCCTGAATAGACCACGAACTTTTTTCATCTTCTCGTAAAAAAAAAGCAGAAATTAGAAATACATTTTTAAAAAATCCTATAACTTGATTAGAAAAGGCTATCAAAAAGTCGACCTTCTTCTAACATCTTGACCTCTTTAAGGAGTCTAAAAATAAAACACAAGAATGAATATAAAATATTAATAAGAGTTAATAAAGAGGACCTGTTTTCATTCATAACAGCTTCAATAAAACAAAAATTTCATAAAAATAGCGATTATCTATATATACTTCTGCACATTGTAGACGCCATATGATTACAGTAATTCCATAAAAGTTTATAAAATAAGTTTTTTTTTAATACTTGCTTATAATCACTATTCTATAAAGTACAAGTAATATTGCATAATCATCAATATTAAAGAAATTATTATAAAAGTTTATATTATTATCATTATTTTAACTGCTAAAGTTATTAAAGTTTTGCGAAGCCCTTCATATAACGTTTATATTATTATTTTAACTTCTATAGTTATAAGCTTTTTCAAGTCACTGACTCCGACTTTACTGTCCAAATATAAGGCTTTTAATATATTTGATTTTGTAGTTTTGTATGTAAAGTTATGACTTCGGCCTCTTCTTACATCACAAAAATAAAAAAAGTATTTGTTAAAGGAAAAACTTCAGAATTCAAAGGACACTCTAAAAAAGTTTAACATATTATATTATCGTGTAGTTTTTTTTTATAAATATTCAAGGTAAATTCTATTTCCTGGAATTGTGAAGGGAAAAAGTTAGCTTCCGGTTCTTCTGACAACACACTTAGAGTTTGGGATCTAAATCAGGTTACTGTTTACTAAAAAATTTACGAAATTCTATTATATATTTTTTAACAAAATATATATTAAAATTATATATTTTATTCACTTTTTTATCACACTTTAGTCAAAAAAAAATTCGTTATTTAAGGAAACCAGCAGTATATAACTTTCTGTTTCGGAATATTTTTTTATTATCGAGTTATAGAAAATATAAGAAAAACTTTATTGCTTTTTATGTAATTTAGAGACTATTAGGATATTCACAAAAATTATGCAAATAATTAGATGCATATTTTAACCTTTATATTATCATAATAGATAATTGTAAATTATAAAAAAGAATTTTAAAAAATAATTCTTTTTAATTAGTCAATATTTTAATGGATACTTTTATAATTAACTTTAATTGTAATTTAATCAGTTGAATTCCATTTTCTATTTTTATAGCATAAAATTATAGAGCCTATTACTTATTTAAATATTATTTTTAAAGTTTGTCTTATTTTTTTTATATAACTTTATTTAAAGTTCTGAATTAGTTGCTTTTACAATTAAGAAATAATTTTAATCTTTTATTTTTATAAGAAAAATATTTATTTAGAAAGTTTTTATTATTAAAAAAATAAGCTTACTATACTTATAAAAAATGTTTTAATAAAACTTGTTAAAGAATTCTTTACTCTTTTAATGAACAAAACTTTTTTATATAATTTTATACTTAATAGTCAATGTAAATTTTTATTAATCTTACAATTAATTTAATATTTACACCCTCGCGTTTTTTAAAAGTAATAACTTTTTTATTGTAAATTCCATTAATTTTTAAATCTTTTATAAACCTTTTTAAATTTGTTTATTTATTATTTAATTTAAAAATGAATTTTTTAATATGTTTGTGTAAATAAAAATAATACTTTAATTTTTCAATCTCCAATAACTTAATAAATTTTTTTTTAATCTTTATCGAAAACTTTTTAGTTTATATTATATATAATAGTTTAACTTTTATCAAAATAATACTAATTTTATACTTAAGACTAAAGAAAACTTTTATTGCTGATTCGATTTTATTGGAAATTTCGTAACAAAATTGTTTTAAACATTTTTTATTAACAATTTTATGTTATTAATTTTTTACTGGTGAATTAATTTTTAGTTTACTTAAAACTGAAGTGAAATTTTTTATATATTAAATTAATTTTTTTTTTGGATTACTTTATTTAATATACTTCTAATTATTTTTTAAAAAAAAATTATCTTTCGGATTATATAATATCACGGTTAATTGACTTTTTCATGTAAACTAATTATTCGTTTTTTTTAATTATGTTAATTTACTTTTTACTTTAATTAAAATTTTTTATTAGATATTTTGATATTATTTTAGTTTTACTTGATTATTATTTAAAGTTTGGTGTCTTTTTTAATCCATTGAAATTATTATAATTTTTTTTAATGCTTAAAATTTTTTACTACTAAAAAAAATTTTTAATAAATTTTTAAAACTATAAATAAAATTATAATTTCGTAATTTTCTTTTTATTTTTTTTAAATACTAAGTTTTAGTAATGATAGTAGCTTTTGTATTAATATTTTTCAAAATACTTAATTATTTTTCTATTTTTTTTTGTAAATTTCAATGATGACTAATTATTTAAATTTCAATAAAAAATAAGTAAAAATTTTTTTACTTCTAAAATTTTCAAGTATTTTGAATTTTTACATATTTTTTTTCCAGAGTCGAGGTGATACCTACAACGGCCATTTCGGTAATATTATCTTTATTATTTATATAATATAAAATAATTATTTAAATCTTTTACTTAATAAATCTCTTTATCTTTACTTACTCGAAGTTTATGAAACTTTTTTTGCGAGTAAGTTTCTGAATAATGTTAAATTATTGTTTATATTTTTTTTAAAAGTTTAAGATATAAGTTTATTTATACATAACAATTTAAAAAAAAATTTAATAAACAAATTAATATTTTTAGAATTTCTAGAGTTTACAGTAATAATTAATAAGGATTCTTTTATAACTATATTTTTTTATAACTTTATATAAAGTTAACAGAAAGTATTTTTTATGTATTTTCTTTGTGGTTGATTTTTCATTCGAAACTCATTTTTTTACAAATTTTTTATTTTATTGATAAAAATTTAGTAAAATATTTATATAAAAACTGTTTATGCTAAATTTTTATAAAACACTAAAATTTTTATAGAATTTCTCTTTTTTTACTTAAAATTTTAAGTTTCTTTTTTTTATTTTTAAAAAAAACTTTAACTCCTTCTAAACTTTTATTAAATGATTTATGCAATTTTATTTAATTAATTGATTAATATCTTGTGTTTGCCTTGGAAAAGTTGTTTATTACAATTTGAAAACTTTCCTTTATTTTTATTGTAATAAATATTTTTACCAATTTCTTTTCGCAATTTTGTATTAGAAAGGATTTAAAAACTATAATAAGATTTTTGTTCTTTGAAATTTAAAAAAATTTAGTATTTTTACTTAAGTCTTCCTTTCAATTATTATAATTTGAACTAACTTTATAAATTTTTATTAAAAGTTTGTTTTATATATTTGTCTAACTTTAAACTATTTTTATTGTTTTTTTTAATGAGTTTATTGACTTTGCCAAAAAAAATTGTTTTATATATTTATAAATTTAAAATATATTTATTACTAATTTTTTGTAGGTTTTTTTATAGTATTTTTTTGTTTAATTTATTCTACAGTGCACTTTTGTTTATAAAAAGGTTTTTCTGCATTATTTTTGAAACATTTATTACTAATGAGAATTATTTTTACCAATTACTTTCTTTATATAAATATGTAACATATAATTAAAAATATTATTATTAACTAAAATCTTTTTTTGCAGTTTATTTTAGAAACAAAAAAATTATTACTAAATAGTCTTGTTTTTATTTTTATAAAAGTCTTGCTTTATTTAAAACTTTAGATATTTTATATATAATTAAATTATATTAGTTTTTTAATCTTAATTATAATATTATTTATATAAAATTTGTAAACTATTTTTTATTTTTTCTTTCACTTCATTTGCAAATAAAATTAAATTAATAATTAAATAAAGTCACTCGTTTAATATTTAAAAAAATTGACTGCTTTTAAAAAACTCCGCAAAATAGCGGGGCGTGGGTACCTCTTCTTGGTGCGCTTATTTCAGCATCGCCTACCTGGTCAGCCACCATTGAGGAGCACGTGTCCTATTCTCGAGTTCAGCTGGTCTAACTGAGTCTTAACGGGACCCTTATATCTTTTAAGGTAGCTCTTTGCTAAATCTTCCCGGCGCTATAATAATTACGTGACCCTCCTCCCCATCTGCACTAGTTGCCTTGCTTTTTTTTAACTAGCCAATTAAAAAGCGTCTTTTTCATAAGCCGGGCGGCTACGGGTTCAATAAATATTTGCAAGTGTAGCTTGTTGTACTTCATAAACATCATTATTATTACTATTATTATCATTATTATTATCATTACCATTATTTTTATTCCACATATTTTTTATGTACATATTTATGTTTAATAAAGGCCCTATTGAAAAACTTTGCTGGAATCCTTCTAGTACTGACCTCGTGGCCACCGCCTCTCTGGACAGGACCGTCAGAATATGGGACATCAGAGGTCGCCTGACTTTCCTTTTTCACATAAATTTTGGTATATTGTAATTCATTAGGAGTTTATTTGGTTACTATTTAAGGGACGACACCATTTAAACTTATTTATACTATTATTATTACTATTATTATTATCATTACTATTATTATTATCATTATTATTATAATCATTATTATTATAATCATTATTATTATAGCAAGTAAAAGTGTGAAAACCATTGAAACTAATAGTGAAAATATAAACATTGATTGGAGCCCGGATGGGAGTACTATTGCTGTGGGAAATAAAGTTTTACTTTTTTTTGTTATTATTATTAATTCGCTATTATTATGCTATAAAAAAGTTTACTTATATATTTTATATATATATAAACTTTTATATTACTTATTTATAGGTTTTTCTCTATATTCTTCGTTATATGTATTTATATATTATATAACCAGCTTAAAATATTTATGTTTTTCTACAAACTACTATTCATAACTTACATGTAATCATAAATAAATATAACTACTACCATCTATACAATGTTATATTAACTTAATTTATTTTTTATTTATTATCGTCTCCGTAAAAACTTTATATTATATTTATTTTCTTTAGTTTACTATATAATTACTTTATTATAAATATACACAAACTAAAATCTACTAATAGTTACTATTTATTAGTTATTATTATTATTACTATTATTAAATATTATAATAAACATGCGTTATTCGAGGTACTTCTTTTTAATTTCGGGAGTATATTATTTTATTTATTAATTATTATATGAATAGCTTATAATAATCTACTTATAAACTTATTATCCAAAAATTCATATTTTCTACTAATTTATTAAAAGTTATTTTTATTATTTGTTACCATTTATAAAACTACAGTATTTTATTTTTATACATTCATTGTTATGAATTTTTATTCTTCTATTATTATTTTTACTTCTTATTATTACGTCAAACTTTTAACTTTTTTTTAAGGATGATCAAGTTATTTTTATTGATGCCAAAAAGTGGCACATCATATCGAAGCAGAAGTTTCAGTTTTTGGTTTTTTTTATATTTTTATGATTAATATTAGTATAACTTTAACTATCTCATTATTATATATTATAATTATTTATTTTTTAGGTGAACGAAATAAAGTATAACAAAAACGGAAACTGTATTTTTTTAACCAATGGAAGAGGTTTTTTAATTTTTTTTTAGTGATTTGATAAAGTAATAATATATTACTTTAAGAAGTATAATAATAATGCTTAATAGAAATATATGAATAGTAGGAAATTATAATAGTTTGAATAAAAATACTATTTTAGTGAAATGGTTGCAAAGTGATTGGTTTATATAATAATAGTAAAGCTCGATTGGCTCCCGTTACTATTCAAAGTTTTTTTTTAGGTTGCGTTTGCATCTGTCAGGCCGAACAAATGGCCCTTCTTCACACTGTGGTTGGACACACGGCGGACTGCACGTGCATTGCTTTCGATAAGACTGGAAAGTAAAAGCATCTTTATTGATAATTCCTTGAACTTTTTTTAATAATACTTCGTAACTTTTAAAGATATTTAAAAAGATGAGAAATATTATAGATATTTTTCTATAAAAAAATTGAAAGTTATATTGTATTGTAATATAAACCAATTAAAGTTTAGATAAATAAATACTAAAGAAATGTGTAGTTTCACTTTCCTTATTGACCCGGCATTACTCAGTAAATAATTACGTAATTTATATATAATAAATAATCAACTTTTAATGATAACCAACGAACTAGTTCTGCAATTATTATTTGGCCTTCATAATATTTTTTTTATTACAATTTTTTTAAAATATCAATAGATTCTGCCTTTAAAAAATATAGTAAAATAGTAAAAAATATAATAAACTCATGTTTATAACTGAACAAAGTAATGAAGTCAAGCGGCTTATAACATGAGAAACATAATACGAGCATTATTTAAACATTATAAACACTCAAACGGTTTGTGGGAAGAACGCTCGTTAAAAAAATTTTCATTATAAAACATAAGCAAATATTTTTATGCAATTTTTTAATGCGCTACGGGGATTGGCTCGTATTATGATCAATTCCCACGGTCATGCTCTCGTGCTTTAAATGTTTAAAAAATGCAGCATGCGGGCCAGGCACCCATGATTTTATAAAAACCAATAGAAAGTACTTTGCCTTTCCATAGCAAGTACAATTGATCTGTATCAGCTACGCTTTATATATAGTACTGCCCATTAAGCTCCAACGTGCGGCTAATCTGGACTATAAAAAAGCATATTACGCTTACACGTGTATTTTCTTCCCCTGGGACTCCCATCTGCCCCTTCCACACGCGTGCGATCATTGCATTATTTTCCATGTGTCCTTCGCGATTATTGCTAACATTGCTTTCCACGTGTTTACCTGTTCAGGTATTTTGCGACAGGCGGTGCGGATTCTTTACTTTGCATATGGGACGCTGAGGAATTCATTCCCATTCGAGTCGTATCTAGATACGAGTATACTTTTATTAATATTATTATCATTATTTTATTAATATTACTATTATTATTATCATAATTGTAACTAAATATGCTATCATTGATTTCTTAAACATTATTATTAATTTTTTTGTATATTACTATTAAAACTTGTGATATTTCTTAAGTACAAACTAATGTGATAATAATTTTTATTGGGGATAATTTATATCAAATACTAAATTATATATAAAATAATAAATTTTGGTAATAATTATATCTTTAATTAAATTTTTTAAATATCTAACAATTAAATTTTATTTTTATTTGCTTATGCAACCTTTTAGTATTGTATGATACTTTAATAATAATTAACTTTAAAAAAGCTTTCTTACTTAAAAAACTGTTCTCAATTGTTCTCGCTTTTTAGATTGTTTTGAATATATCTCTTATGATTATTGCAAAGTTTAGTGTTTGTTAACTTTATATATATTGTTGTATATCATTTTACTATCTAATAAACTTTTATTTAACACTTTTATATTTTTTAGTTTATAAATTTCTTACTAATATTGTAAAGATTTCCTTTTACTCTAATTTATTAATATATCGATTTTATTAATCATTTAAAAAATGTTTTTTTTATAAATTTCTAAGAGATTAAAGTTTTATAATAAATTTGACTTTTTTATTATATATATATAATTATAAGAAAAATAAAGTTATTATATTTTACTATAAGAACGGCCCTTGAAAGTTTGAGTTTTAGTTACGATGGAAGTATTATTGCTGTCGCCTCTGAAAGCCACAAGCTGGAGTTGGTGATTCTTTTTTTTTTTATTATTATTATTAATATATTTTATAAAGTTATTTATCATATTTATTAAGAAATAAAAACTTTATCTTCTATTATAGTTTGCTTATAAAATAATTAAAAAAAAGTTTGTATAACTTATTTATATTAGGCTTATGTAGAAACTGGCGAATGCGTGATGGACTTTTCAGCACCCGGGCCATTGGCTGCCGTATCCTGGCATCCGTCTAAGCACGTGCTCGCCTATGCAGGCGTGGACAACAGCAGGTGGTCTTACGTGTGGTTTATATGAGTTTACTTACACTTATGCAACTAATAGCGTAAGAGACAGCAGAGACGAACCGCGTGGCATGTTGAGGGTATTTAGCGCTTTTTCTTAACCAAAATCTAATAAAGTATTATCTTTCGACTTTTTATTCAGCATATATAAAAAGTAAAAAGTATATATATTATTTTTTCAAGGAAACTTTATGTGCTTTTGCTATTAATTTATCTATATAAAGTTCTTATTGTTATATAGAAGACGCTACATCCTCAGCAGAAGGTTCTCGTAAGTGCTCTTCAGCTAAATATATCTTTTTTATATGTAAATCCAACTTTGCTAATAATTTGGGCACATCCTTGAAAGGATGTATAACGTTTCGGTTTGGTTGAACTGGCGTTCTGTCGATCTGCTTTAACTTTTAAAACATTTAAAACTTTTAAGTACAACTTACTAAACTTCTCAATTTTATTATATTACTTTAAAAAAGTGTAAGCAAATATATTTTTAAGCGTATAAAGATCGGTCGTAGTTTGGTATTTGTTAACTAACTTTCAAATTATATGACACATCTTCATTCATTAAATGAATCTAAGTATAAGCAGGTTGAAAGGCTCAACAGTCGGAATATTCTTAGTATTATGCTTCATAAAAATTATAGCAATTTTTTAAACACTCCTTATAAAAGGATGTGGATATATGCGTTATAGGTACACAAATACGCTGTATTCTTTTAATAATTTTATATACACCAAGTGGTTTTTTTCATTTTCTCTTTACAAAAGTTGAAACCTTGAATTATATAACTTCCAGCTCTTCCTTATTTCACCTATTACTATAGAAATTGTAGTGAAAGCGACAGAGCAGCAATATTTTTTATTTAATCATTAACATACTACGAGCACTTCAGGAACAAGTTGAACCCGCGTTACCTTTTTTCAAGGTAAGCGGTCATAAAATTTTTTCGAACGCAGATAGTACCCCCCAATTCGCTGAATGCTCAGTGCTGAAAAACTTTCATGGCGCTGTCAGTAGCTAACTCTACTTATTTAGCCCTGATAATAAAGCGCATTTGTTCGAGTTGACGGCATTATGGTTCTGTTAAGGAAGTCAAGGCTTCCGCACCCTCAGTTGATATAGAGAGAAAGTAGGTTAAACAGTAGTTGATTATAAATCACGCCGGACTCCAGCCTTTCTGCGTATTGCGGTGGAAAACCGCTAAAAATCACTACCGGAGAGAAAGGCAGAAGACCAGAAGTCACCTGGAGATACCTACTATCAACCGCTGCCCGGCCCACCCTCCCCGACTATGAGCGCCTCACCCAGAAAGGAGGAGCCCTTATACATACATTTTAGAACTGATCAGAGTTATCTCTTTCATACTGTATAGCGGAAGGGCGAAATACCGCCGATAAACAAAACCAGACGCCTTGCTTAGCCGGTTCAGTTTTGAATAAACTTTATTATTTTTATTTTTTTATTTTGGCAATATTGCAGGAAGCTTCTTTGGTAAAAGCTATAATAATTTGCACAAAGGATAATAAAATGAGAAGCAGTGACGCAATACAGTTATTAAGTAGCCAGTTTGGCTGAATTTAAAATTTTTACAATTATTTCCGTTTATTCTTTAATTATTGGATTAAAAAATAAAGATAAAGTTCTTTTCATATTGTCATTTGCATATAGCATTGTTTATCTTAATAATTATCACAGTGTTGTATGTATTACCGTGTTAAGAAAGTAAAAGTAAAAAGTTTAATTTCTCTTATTGCATTCTTTTTTATATATATATTGATTAGTATTCTCTCAGAGTTCAGTCTGGGATGCGATCCCATAAAAGAGTAGGAAGGCCCAGGACATTTTATAAAAATAGATTCAGGTCCTTTATATACCAAATGTAACGCACCAGTACTAAAAAGAAAACCGTCAGCGGAATAGTAATACAACAATTTGACTTGTTGGTGCATAACTTTTTATATATAAACTTGAGATCTATCTAAAATTAATAGAATATTATTTGTCGTTGGGAATTTTTAAATCATAATTCCAACTGCTAATATTAATATTCTATACTTCTCCCAATAAAAATGATTCAATTAAGTTATTAGTCTTCAATTTTTAAGACTTGTGACAGTATGTAAATAGATTACCAGGAGGGTTAAGGCCGATTAGCATTTTAATGATTTCGGCAAAAATAAAGTGCGAAAAAATACTACATTTCAGATATATAATTACTTATAAGGCAAGTATATATTGTTTTCTCTCTTTTCTTTGTAGTAAATAGATACCTTCCTTAAAAGAAAACTTGCAAACAATTTTTAACTACTCAATACTCATTATATGCGAGTAAGGACAAACTTAAATTAAACCAAAAAAGAAGAGAAGAGGTAAGTAACTGCTGAAAATTAGTATAGGGTTAAACGTGGTAAGAAAATTTTACTTTTAACAAATGAACTTATAGTATAACAGAAAGTTGTTTAACTTTAGGTTTCGAATGACAAATTTTTATCGAGTGTCATTACTTAAAAGTGCCATAGTGTTTTTCACTACTACGTACTACCTTTAACGTAAAAACAAAGTGAACAAAAAAAAACAATTTTAAAACTTGAAGTGCGTTTATAGTTTGTCAAAGGAGGGACATAAATTAAATTTTGAACATTAACCCAGAAAAAATTAATTCAAATAAATTGTTAAAGTCTAAATCAGCTTGAAGGACAGCGATTTATAAAAGATAAAATTTATTTTTCTTTTCTTTATTATGAAATGAAAGTAATGATCCAAAACCCATTATTCATAGTAGGTTTTTAGGTTGGATAGTGGGGAACAAAAGTTTTTAAGAAAAGAAACCACAATTCCAACTTCACAGGTTATTAGTTTCTCTGGAATTAAAAAGATTTTAGGTTCATGTATACTTATTAAAGTTAGAGGTCAGATTAGAGAACTACGATTCAAAAAAGCTAACATTGTTTTTCTTAAAAACCATAAACAAAATTACAAAAGGTTTTAATAATGCGGATGGCTTAGAGCTTTGATTTAGCTATATACAAAAAAAGTTAAAGAATTAAAAGAAATATTTTATCTTCTCTTTATTTTTTGTGGCAAGGCAACCTACGCAAACATCAATTTTAAGTTTTTTTAAAGCAGTGTAAATTAATAACTTAAGTACAACTAAAATTGGTTTTAATGTAGCATTTACCCTTCCAAACGCGCAAAGGATGGGGACCTGAATATTTTTTGGCTTTTTTTCAGTTTCCTCTTCTTTCTTCTATATATTGAAGTTGGATGTATTACTTTTAAAGTTCTGTATATATTTTAAATGAAAAGACTAAAAGTAAATGAAGACCTTCTCATAGAAGCAGGTCCCTTTTGCGTTGAATTTGTGCTAGATTTTGTCCAAATAAAACTGCTTACGCCTATGTATTGTAGATATCGGGCGTTTAAAAAGGGATGTCCACGTCTTTACAAATAAATTTTTCAGGTTTCTTAATAATTTTTAAAATACCATGAGAACTGCTTTATATTCTTTAATTGATAATAAGTTAAAAGGCGAACTGTTAAAAAATAAAAAGTTGAGGCGGGAAATTCAAAAGGTAGAACCCTCCTTTAGATTGGCCTAACTATATAAAAGAAATTATTTCTACAGTTGAATAAAACATATTCTAGAAAGGAAATTACAGATGAAGCACTACTTCAGCTACGTTTTCAGAGAAAGGAGCGTTTAAGGCAAAAGAGGTTCTAAAGTAGAGCCATTTTTTAAATTTAATTTTTTAAAATTTTCAACTACTTACAGAGAAAAACTCAAAGTTCTTGCTGAAACCGAATCTTTAACTCATCAAAGAGGCATTAAATTTATTTGTGAGTGTTACCGCTTATTAAAAAATAGAAATAATTAAGTCAGCACTCCTGTTCAATATCACACTGAGCAATTTAAGCCTCCTGAATGGTGCGTCCCCATTTGTGCTGATGTTTTAGACTTTAACTTTAAGGTCCTCATTTTTTATAAAAAGATTTCAATTTATTAATTAATAAAATTTAAAGTTGAATTTTATACTTAATCTGTTTATTACGTGTATACCGTTTATTAACTAAGTTTATTCGAAGTCTACTAAGTTACTACTTTACCTTATTGAAGTCTTGTATAAATTAAAGTAGAAAATTAATTTTTTTTAATGTTATATATTATTTATTAGGATAACGCCTTTAATTTTTTATTCGTTTTTGATATTTTACTAATCCCCTATTATATTTATTATTTAATTAAATTACAAAAGTTGGTTTAATTTTTTTTACTTTTAGATATAATGTTTAAAGTTAGCTTGCAAATTAACTTTTTATATAATTTTTTGAATTTTTTAAAGATTCAAAGAGTGAGTTTTGTTATTCAAGATTTTTAACTCTAAAAAAAAAAATTTATTTAAAAGTAATTTTACTGTTTTAAATTTTTTATTAGGAATTAGGAGCCGTTGTGCAATTTGATTGCATCATGTTGGATCCTCCTTGGCAGCTGGCCAGCGCTACACCAACACGTGGGGTATGTTTATTTTTTACACCAATTAGATTTCTTCGAGATCATAAGTACAAAATTAATTATATTTTATTCTGCTAAATTAATTATTTTTACTAAAGATTTATTTTTAAGAATTTGGTTATAATAATTTATACTTACTTATAATATTATGATTTATTTAAAATGCACTTATTTAGAATTCAGTAGAAAGAACATATAAAATATATTCGAATAATATAAACAAATTTTAAAATATATATTTTTAATGATTCTAAATTTTATTATTATTTTTGTTTTATGTTATCAATATTGATTAATAGAAGTTTGATCAATAGATCATTTCTGTAGGACTTTACTTTGCATGAATTTTTTATTCCTTCATTCACAACAGAGAAACTCTGTATAATTCACATGTTTGCTTCATTTATTTAGTCGACTACTACTTGATTAGTGCTGTATTTAGTGTGATTTCGATAACTTTTCTTAAAAAAAACTTCTTATTATTTATGTTTCTATAGCCAATTAAATTGATATATTAAAGAAAAGTATATATATAATTTATTTTATTTCCTTCATTTTAAACTTATATTTTAAAAAATAATTATATATTTAGTATTTGTTTTATTAAACAAATAATTTTAATTTTGTATTCTTTTTATAAAGTTATTTTGAAATAATTATTCGCTCGATTCAACAATAATAAATTAATTATCATATGTTTATTTGACAGAATGAAAAATTTTTAAATTTAGCTCCACAAAATATGTTAAGTAGATTATATATTGTTAATATCCTTGATCGTACTTTCTTTTTTCAACGAAAAGTTATTTATTTTCTAGTTTAAGAAATTGTATTTTTAATTTTCGGTTCTTTTAATTTTTTTTTCCTCTTGCAAAATAATTTATTTCGGAGTAACGAAATTAATATTTTTCTGTTTTGTGTGGCTGAGTTATAAATTGGCGTACTCCTCCTTTATGTTTTTATAACTTCAACTTTCTTATTTAAATTCTTTGTTAATACTCCAAATAATTTTATATAAAAAGTTTTTAAAACTATTTTACTCAACTTTAAATCCCTTCTACAGTAGTACCTTGTAGATTTTTCAATTTTTTTTAATAAATTTTTTTTTAGAAATATTATTTTTTTTTACAATTTATATCTAACATTTATTATTGCAGGTGGCATTGGGCTACTGTCAGCTGTCTGACGCTGCCATTCAAGATCTCGCTCTCGAAACTTTATCGCAAAGCGGATTCTTGTTTTTATGGTTATTATTAAATTCGTATTATTCTAAAAGATTTTACTTATTAATATTGATGTCTATATAATCAATTTTTAATAAAGTAATTTTAATGAACCTTTTGTAATTTATATTATTAGTACTATTTTTAATTTAATACTTTTTTTTAAAACTTATGAGTTAAAATTTTTCTTTTACATTTAAACATAATTTACGTATTAAGAAATTAATAAAAAAAATATTTATTTTATATTTATTGAATCTGCAGAGATTTCTTACTTTGCGTTTTGACTTATTAAAGAGTTCAAGTAGCTGATATTGTTCATGTTTGGCTTATATTGTTACAGATTATATTATCAGCGCTTTTTTATTATTATTTAGCAGAGTGCGTATTTTGTTACTAACTATACAAGGTTTTCAAGTTCTATAAGATTTTATTTATTTTAATTCATATTTTTTGTTTAAAAAATAAATTTTTAATAAATCTTGATTGACTTCTTTTTTATATTAAAAAAACTACTAAAAGTTTTTTTTAAGAGCACTTACAAATGTCTTATATTAATTCTTATCATGAGAATACGCCTATTGAAACTTTATATTTTTGTATATTTTAATTTTTTTATTTTATAAAATTTTTTTATCATAAATCTTATTTGAAGGGTCATTAATAACCGCTTTGAGGTGGGACTGCAAATGCTGGAGAAGTGGGGATACAGGCACGCAGTATTTTATGTTATTCATCCTTGAGAATTTCTTAAACTCGCTTTTTAAATTTTTAACCATTTAGTTTAAGAAAGAGTAAAATAAATTTCTTTTAATAAAATGTTATAGAAAACGAAACAAATCTATAAGCACTTATAATTTTTATGTATTAGCATTGATTTTTCTTTTTTAATTATATTTATTATTATAAAATTTATAGAGAAGGTAATAAAAGTTTAAGTTATGTGAAGGTTAAGTAAAAGTTTATTAGTTTTTAGAAATCCTCGTAATATAGCCTTGCAGACTTAGCAGTTTTGTAATTTTTTTCTTCTGAACGGTGGTTTAAGTTAAGCTTGACCAAATAAATAGCCTTTGCTTTCCATGGCAGGTTTATCGATAGCATTGATTGGGTTAAGCGAACTGTCAATCGACGAATGGCAAAGTCGCACGGGTTTTACTTGCAGCACGCCAAGGAAACGTGCTTGGTGGGAATAAAAGTTACGTGTGGCTCTGCTACTATTATTATTTTTTACTTAATCTTATATTTTTAGGGGAGCCCACGTTACGAGCCCTTGAAGGCCACCGACGTGATCTATGCAAAGAGACGAGGGCAGGTGCGCCGTGAATACTTTATATAAACATTAACTAATAAAAAAACGCCGTAAAACAGAGCCAGAAGCCCGAAGAAATTTATAACGTGATTGAAGATTTGGTTCCTAACGGTGAAGATTTGCTAAAATTTTTTTAAAAAATTCTGATCTTTATGCTGAGCTTACTTTTTTTTTAAGGTAACTACTTGGAAATATTTGCACGGAGAAACAATCTTCGAAACTTTTGGGTGTCTGTCGGGAACGAACTATAAAAATAATTAAATAAAAACTTATACTTTTATGATTATTAAACCAGACAATTTTTGGTGTTTCTTGTAAATATTTGTATACTATTATATTTTTTTTAAATGAGATGCATTTTCTGGGGAGTTAGAAAACCGGACGGTAGAGCACCGTGGTGACGTACTTTTTCTGGTAGCGGTGGGTCATCCCTAGCACCATCACCCCGTCGCTGATGGACAATGCATACAGGTGGTTCAGTAACACGTGGTTCGGGATTGGCAAGAGAGACGGATCGCTGCCGGTTTACCAAGTGGTTAGGATGCCCTCCCAAAGGATAATTAAGGAATCCGTACCTCTGCGAGACTGGCGCGCAGTTAAGCAGCACTTGCATGAGATGCGGCGGCAGTACGGGCGGCGGCTTGCTGGTGCCGTCCAGTTTGGGGATCGTCTGGCTGTAGCCACCTGAGTCCCCTCAAAAGTTTTTATGCTTTCTTAACCACGTGAGGAAAGATTATTTGCTACCCGGCGGACTTTTGGCAGGAGCGGAGGCTGATACAAAATCCTCAAAGTCGAAATCGTCTTCATCTGCGTCTCCGATTTCAAGGAAATTGTTTACAGCTCCAGACCGATCTTTATAAACAAATATTGTACATAAATATCTTTATAAGACTAATTATTATTGTATATAACATATACCTAATAATTAAACTAACAATGATCTTTAAAATTCATATAGTTTGTAAGTTTTAATAAAAATCAAACAAAGTCCAGAAGGCACCAGACATTTGGGTTAATTGTTAACAAGAAACAAATATATATTTAACAATTTATAGTGAATACGAAGAAATTTATAATTAGTAAATTTTTTATAAAATAAAAACAAATTAAGTTAAATAATCACCCGCATTGGGAATAAACTGTTTATATATAATAAATATTTAAAAGAAAATAATTTCAAATGAATTAGTTGTTTGTAAGTTTTATAAACTAAAATTAAATTAAGTAGTCACCAGGCATTGTGGGTAAATCCGGATTTATTTTCCACTCGTTGTCGACAATAAACTTAAACTGGTGAGTCCCCGGCGGCAGATTGATGATGGTTGTAAATTCTTCGCGACTATTCAGTATAAATAAGTTAAGCGCCGAAGTCAGCGCATTAGATATAACAGATTTAGTTTTATATAGGTTAACTGAAGAGTGTACATTTACGCTAGACCCAATTTAGATTTAATATATATATATATACGAGTAAAATATCTGAAGACTATATAAATGATATCTAAAAACATTCAATTTTTCTTTAAAAAAAATTATTAACAATTTAAAAGTTTTTAAAATTATTTATCAAATAACAGCTATATAAGTCCTATTATTAAAAAATAAATCTTTAAGAAAAGATTGAAAGTAAAAAATTTTTAAAGGTATCTTTGAGCTAAAAAGCTTTTCAAGATGGCAATCTTTTAATTTAAAAGATAATAACAGAAAAATGAAGAGAGAAACTGGCCAGCTCAGAGGGCAAAAATTAGAAATAGAAGTAAGTAATAAACTTTATAAAACAAACAGTTTCAAAAAAAAATTATACAAGTTTACTTGCAAACAACTGTTAAAACTTTTTTATGTATTTATATATAACAAAAGATTTAAAAACTTAAAAAGTTTAGCAGATAAACAGTTAAACAATTTTTTAATTAAGTCAAGAGCGTTTTTATACAAAATAAGACAAGGATTGCAATAATATATAAAGAGAACTATAATTACAAAGATTACTACACAAAAAAAAATTATAATAAAAAATCTCTGCGACTATATATACGTAAAGCGTACACAAAAATGAAATATAAAATTAGTCTAAAGAGAAAACCTTTTATTTAGTGGGATTCTCTCGCGCCAGTTATTAAACGTGCCAGTCACGTAGATGTGGCTCCCTCCGTGCGTCCACCGGAAAACATGGGGCACTAACGCATTTTCTTTTTCTAAAAAAAAAATAGTTGACGGTAATAATAATAAGTAAAAGGAATCAAACATCGTCTAACCAGTACTTGCTTGAGGGAGCTTACTTATTGCTTTGTTACGCGTTGAAGAATCTAAAGGAGATAATGTGGGAGAGTTGGATAAAAAGAAAGGAATTTCAGCTTTAATGGTGCAATCAGCGGCATCAGTTACGTTAAAATCCATCATAGCCCGCTGCTTACTTAAAAAGATTAAAAATCAAATTAAGCAAAAATTTATTTATTATAGACTTAAAATTTAGTTGAAAAGTAAAATAAAAATTATGGTAGCGTTAAAAAAGAGTTGTATACATTGTATTCTATAATTACAAAAAACTTAGAATTACGGTAAAAAAAACAATATGACGCTTTTAATTTTTTTTTTTTTTAACAACAAAAGACCACGATAATAACGGAAATCGAGGTAAGTTTGGTTTTTTCTGCGGAAAAAAAACCTTCGACAATAAAAGTTTAAAAACTGGTTCAAACAAAATTTAAATCAAAAAACAATAAACGATATATATCTTTACAAAAAGTTATAAGTTATGATATATATTAAATTACTATTTTGAAGGCGAAACTTCTTCATTAGGCAAATAGCCGGTTATTATAGACTCTGACTTTCTCGATTGAAGGCTGGTGTTACCCATTTCTTCTAAAAAATTAAAAAAGCTTATAAGAATTATTGTTATAAATTCTTTAGGGGCAAGTGTTCGGAGCAAACGAAAGCAAACTGCGGAGAAGCCCCTTCAACTCGCTTCGTTTTGGCTCATCCGACGCATATTTTTCTGTTATTAAACTTTTCCTAAGACAGTATTGCTCTTCCATTTAGACAACCAAATTTTTTCCATTGCATACTGCACCATGTCATTATAGTTAAAAACAGCTCATGAACAAATGTTCATATTATTTTTCAGCAGCGCACCACTTAATTTTTTTTGCAAGATGTTCACCCTAATCTAATCATTCTCAGTCTGGTTTACTTCGACCAAAAACTTTATTGCCTGTTAATTATTTGTTATTAACTGTAGGACTACCCAATACAACATTTAGTAAGCTTATAGTTAAATGAGTATATAATCTAACAAAAAAGTTCTAATTTAATATCAAGGTGAGGAAACAACTTGGACTGAACATATAAATCTCTACCTAAGGTACTTCTAACTGTTCCTGGGAATTGTTACAGATGTAAACTCAGCTCGTAAGAATTCGTTATAAATTCTATAATTTTTAAAGTCTGAGTAGATTAAATTTTACTATTACGAATTTTGTAGTAACGTGCCATATATATGATATTTTTAAGGCCCCCCCCCCCCCAAATTCTTTACATAGTACAAAAGCTAGTTTTTTTTTTAAGTTTTCGTTTTAGCTCCCTCTGCGCATAGTTTTAAAGTTAAACTGTAGCGCCTGTAACTAAGGTGTTATATAAGAGAGAGGAAAACTGGTTTATTGAATTGCTTTACCCGCCCCTCCGAGAACAGCTCAGGGATATACACGTATACAAACTAAAAGCGGACTTCGCAAAATACAATCTTACTGCGTCTTATAAGTTTAACAAGACCCTATGATTGGACACTTGAAAATAATTAAAAAAAGTGGTTTAACCAACCTCAGAAGGAGACATTAGTGATGGTAAAAATGAATGACGTAAATGGTTAAGCTGCATCCAGTAAATTCGTTTCCAAGTAAACAAAAGTTAGAACACCTAAATTAAGGTCTTTTTTAGTAAGTACTTTAGCAACAAATATCAAAATCATTAAATTAATTTTAAATAGTCAAGTATATTGTAAAAATGCTTAACAAAATCTTTTTTTATTTTACAAATACTGATCCTTAACACTTAGTTTCTATAGCCCTTTATTGACCAGAAAACTTAACCACAACATTTTTATTAAAAATTAGGAATTGTCGAATGGTGATTAGTAAAACATAACGCTTTAGCTACTCAATATAATTATTATATCTCTTAATATTTAATAAATAATTTAGTTTATATTTTTATAAAAATAGTTATAATACGCAATTACTAAAATAAATGTGAGTTTTCTGTTTTAGAGGTAAAATACGTATGGTATTTTAATCTTCGAACGCCAGTAATAAAAAATTTTTTCTTTAAAGATTAACGGGTTTAAATATTATATATAGTAACAGATATACGCACGCGTCCAAGAAGAAAGCACAGACCAAATAAGAACGCAATTGCCTGTTTATAAAAGCAAACATTTTTTAATATTCTCAAATTGTGCGACAAAATTTTTAAAAAATTATAAAATTTAACAAAAATTAACGCGTTTTAAGTAATAAACAGAAATTTTCTACAAGACATTGGTTTAAGATTTTCAAAGCCCCGTAAACACAATCTCTTATTCTTAGTAATATTATTAATTCAAAGTAAAAGAACATATTTAAATCGTTTTAAACAAAGCTTTTAACTCGCCCTTAAAATTCATGTTTTACATGGGCATCTCCTTTAATAGGACATTTAAATATACAGTGGCTGTATTCATAATTATGCTAGCACGAATTCTGCAAAATTACTTTATTAAGCATCGCACTAAATCTAAAGTTCCAGTTAAAAGTTGCATCTACATACTTACTTCTTTTTGTTAACGTGATTGCACTTCGGATTTCGTGCTACATTTTTGTGAATCTTTTAATACAGATTTTATGATCTTATCATTTCAAATATACGCTTTTGTTTGTGGACATGGGGTGCGGGATATAGCTTTGGACAATTTAATGTAAATACATGCCCCTAAATATGGAATTTTTTTTTGTTTATTTATTTAGATAAAAGAAGTTGGTCAATGCTTGCAAATCTCATTAAATTTATATTTAAAGCAATTTCTAACTTTTTGAGTTAATACTCCCTTTTGCTTTTCTTTTATTTTGTTCGTGTTCGTATACATATTTTTTTTTCTTTTATACTCCTTTGTAACCTAACAGCTTAACAACCATATTCTTTTGACAACTATGTGTCTTTTCAAAACATTTCTCCAGCATTTGTAGTAAAAAAATTGAAGTTTGTTGAGGACTGAACAAACTGATACCATCGGGCATGTTATTACCTCGGATACCTACTTTTCACTTACCCGGGGGACAACTCTCTAGATAAATGCTTGCGCCCAGTGGAGAGTTTCTTGGTCCTTGTTACATTCTTTATAGTGAAGCGCGTCTAACATCCCTTTTACATGATCTTGGATCTGGTTATAACCTTCTTGTTTTCTATTTCTTTCTCATTTTTATTGGCTAATTCTTTTTCTTTTTCATATATTATCATTTCGTTTATTTTAAATTGTACTTAATAACCTATTTCACACTTATAATTCAGTTATTCTTTCAGTTATAATTTTGGCGCGCTTTATTATCTTCATAGAACCCTAATGACTTTTAAGGCGTTATAAAAACTGAAATATTCACTTAAGATCCTATCTGAGCAGTATAGATGCTATTAAAGCAATACTGATAAGAAATGTTGCGATGCGAGGAAACTCGAATTGGCATTGACCGGAAGTTAATGAATATGTATATCCTTCGGAATGTTCGCGGTTCGTTCAAGTTGGGTGGCATATGCAGCCGTGATCAATTATGGTATGCGTTTAATGTGTCACGGAGGGTATGTTATTGACTTTAGAAGAGGAGTTTACGAACATAAAGAAATTGGATGATGAAGATATCAGATCACTAATGAACTGCATTAATATCTTAAGCTCTAGGATTGGATATTAAGACACAAGAGTGCAAGAAGTTTAATAGATTTGTAGGGGTCTTAGTAAATTATGGTAAATGGGCCTCTTTTAGGCAGAATGTATTATTTAATCGAAATTGTTCTGGATGTAAATTAAGCATGGCAGGCGTCGTAGCCTGTGCAATTTTACGGAAGGTTAGAACTCAACTGAAGTATGGGGTGCATGAATATGTAGCCTTGTGCGCAAGCTCGTCAAAGCTGCCATTAAAAAAGGAGGGCGAGGGAGCTAAATATGGTATGACCAATGATAATGCTATAAAAGCAATATTACAAGAAAAAATTCAAATGTGAGTATATAAAGGCTTGGCTTAATGCAAGACAGTGCAGAAACCGAGAACTTGAAAGTGAACTATTAAGGGAGAGCTCTTAAGTTTATAATGGCTCAATAAAATTAACTTGGAGTCGGGTGCTAGTTGCCTTATACATAACGACCTAAGTTTGTGGTGTATTTATGACCACTACTGGAAGATTTACGGGGATAAAAGGTATATACCTACATTAGGTATTGGAAAATTTTGTAATAAGAAGGCCTTATTTGTCTCTACTCCCTCAAAGGGCCTCATTAGCGTGGGACAATTTTGTGATGAGAAGAAAAGAGAATTTTAGACTCGAAAGAAGGTGTTTAAATTAAGTTTCTTTATCTTTTTAAAATATTTAGTAAAATTAGTTAACGTAGTATTTACCTAGTTGCCCTCTAGACTACTAAGCTATTTAATAACTTCAGCTATAACACCCTCAAGACGTTTTGGTCTTTGTTCCAGCTCTCTAGACTAATACTATAACGTTTATAATATCGCGCTGGTCCTTTAGACTAACGTAAAACTAAAACATTCAAGACGCGGTAAAAACCTAAAAAGAAACAATGGAAGAAGGAGCAAAAATATGGACGAGCTACCCGCTATTTATTAAAATAATATATATATACCATACATATTGTAGCACTAGACTATAAAAGGTACCTAATAACAATACAGTTACCCTAATACAAATTTTAAATTCGTGCTGTAAAGTGATTAAATTCTAAAAAAAAAGGGAAAGTGTATGCTAACAACGGCATGGATCATCTTTTATGTGAAGTATTTTCAATTTTTACTGCCATTAGAAATTTAAATTGTTGTTACTACTGGATAGTCCCTGAGAGTTACGCTCTATATCTGAATAAAATGAATGATGTCTTGGGGAATATTAAAGAAAGCAAACATAGAGAATTCTATAATAGATATATCGCCTCAAATATAAAACATATAAACTCTCCTGTGTTTCGTGAGCAGTTATGAATTTACATTAGACCGCGCGAAGAATGTAACGTCATGATTATAATGGGCGCCCAGTCAGATCTCATCTGGATATCGATTTATGTGGTCTATATATTGTTGTTTACATAGAGTTTAATCCACTGTTCTATCAATATAACTTTTAGTCGCTTGGGTATGAAAGCGCACAACTTATAGGCAAGTATACAGCCTTACCGCAGGATGAAAAGATGTAAGATTAGTCTGGATTGTACGGATTGCATTTGAATGTTCTGCTGTCCGGGCATTTGATGAATTGGTGTATGAATACTTTAGATATGGCTTTCGTTGTTTACCAATAAGAATTCTGGTATATTATATAAGGAAGAATAAAATTTTTACTTAAATCTCTAAATACACCGCATAACCCAATTGTAGAACCGTATACAATGGAATCTCAATGGTAATGGCTAAGGTTATGATTTACAGAGCCAAATAATTAGACGCTTTATGGGCTGGAGCTTTCAACTACGCTGCTTTTGTTACAAATGCATTTTCTGGAAGTTGGAAGAAATCACGTTTCGTAATACAAAAGATAGACTCTCTATACATGTGTTTTAGAGGCATGACCTTTGAAGGAATGACACAAATCTAGAAGGGGGATACTACTAGGTTCCTCCTATAAGTACTTTTGGAGGATTCGGGTGTATATATGACTATTCCACTAAAAGAGTTCAAAGAGCAGAAATTTGAAATATTTAATAACAGGTCTGCAGCTAAACTTTCCACTCCCGATAAAACCTTTGGATTCTTATTGTCAGCTTACCCTAGTTCTTCCAGCGTTATAATAAGCTAACTGGAAAACTCATTTATAAAAATGACCTTTCCGCTGGCAAAATTGAAAGCCACAAAAAAGGTAGCCATAAAAAAGGTAAAACAGGTTTCAACTTGGATCCTAGGTAGACGTACTACATAGTTTTCCTAACAAAAGGTGGGAAACCAAAGTGGTTCCCAGACACGGTGCAGGACATACAATTTGTAGATGGAAGAGTCAAACACCGTTATATTTGACGTCGAGGGGTAATGAAGAAATACCAGAAACTGAAGAAATACAAAGTTGAACAATGGCAAAGTATCTTTTGGCCAGTGTCGAAGAACCCTTCAGGAAGCCATGACCTGCGGGGAATGAATTTATTAAGGCTAACAGAACTAATAGCCTTGGATGAGGCTGGTAATTGGGAAGTTACTGAGTCACTTATACCAACCACACGGAAATTTTTAATTAAATTCCACGGAGGACTCTACAATCCAGGATGGTACGTGCAGGGTTTTACTCAAATTGAGGTTATGCACTACATCAAAGCAACTTGCCACCTAATCTCTAGAAAAGCGATTTAGACTTCTCGAATCATGGGCACATCAGATGAACTACCAACGATTACAGTTCTATGAGAATAATGCATATAGGCATACCTATATAAATTACATTATACCTAAAAATTTAGGTGGGTTCTACATTACTTCACCCTTTGGTTATTGGTAATAAACGACTTAAACTAGTAAAGGCATTATATGGCACCTAACAAATAGGATTATTATGGTTTAAGCACATAATGCATAAGCTCAATGGACTCGGTATAAAGAAATATAAAACGAGCCTTTCTTGATCGAACATCGCCGAGAAAACTTAGTAATATATGACTTTAAAGTCTATATTAAAAAGGAGAGCTTTTCCCGTAATTTAACGGAAAAAATTGATGGTATCACCGAGGTCCTCCATTCTGATTTTCTGAATCTAAATTTAGGGTATTTGAAAGAACATTGTAAAATGATCCAAGAAAAGTTTATCGGTGAACTTCTATATAACAATGATTTATTAAAATGTAAACCTGTAGAATAACCCTCAGCACACCATTACTTTGGAAAAACTGGTCTTATTTAACCACATGCACCAGACCAAACGTACAGTTGGCGGTAAATAAGTTATCATTGCACCTCAGTTTATATGGCAAAGAACATAGGGAGTAAGCGAAATGCTTGTAAGGACCTCAAGGGTACCCAACCCCTTTAAAAAAGGTCTTGGAGGAAGGGCAAACTCGGTAACCAAGTTTACTCAGACCTAGTTATGACTCTGAGGAAGATCGTAGGCCCCGTTCTGTTACAGTGGTAATTGTAAACGACCTTCTAATTGTTTAAGAAACAAAAAACTTGTAGGTGGTTGCTCATTTATCCACAAAGGCCAAGTTTGTTGCCCTGGTAGAAATTATTAAGAGGGCTAAAAATGAGTACTTTCAGTGCTACGAGAACTGCACTATCATAGTAAGTTTTTTATTATAGTATAAGGCCAGCCCCGTATACATATTGCCAACAATTATAGTGGAACGAAGCTATTAAAGCATATTGGTGTGAAGTACTGTTAAGTCAAGGACGAAATTGAGAAGGAAAACGTATATATAGAGCTTTCCCCTACTAAGGACTTGCTTGCTAATTAAACAAATTATATAGCTAACCGGCAGTACAAACCCTGGTGAGCAGGCTTATGTACGGTAATCTCCAAAAATTTGTGGGTCGGCGAGGGAGTAAAAAGATTTGAACAACCTAATTCAAGCGCAAACCCCGAAATATGGAAATTTTTATTAGTTATTTAAATGCCCTCATGACCAGAGTCCAAGCAGAGCTGTCTTGGTCAATATTACTCATGGTGTAAGCCAGCTCGGTAATCTTCTTCAGGTAAAAAGCGTCGTTGCAATACTTTAATAACAATTCTTCCTTCTTTTTTTAAGTTTATCTTTGTTCGCTTGCAAATCTTTATTATTCATATTCCTTTATATTTAACAAGTAGCGCCGCCTAAATTTATAACTCACTTTTTCAATTGCAAATTTTTTTAAAATTTTTTATAATAAAATCTACCTTAGCCCTCATATTCGTTTAAATATACAAAAAATCCTATAAACAAGAACAAGTTAACGGCGAATGCAGACCCGAAAAATAATTTATAAAAGAAAAATTTAAAACTCTTTAAACTCGTAAAACTAAGCGTGCAGACGTGTGCAGACTTGTTTACTTAAAACAGTGCGATCGTTCCTTAAACCTTTTTGTAGTAACCTTTCAAGAGCAATAAACAGGTGAAACAAAAATTAATAGATGCGTTGACGGTATGTGGTTCGGCTTATAGCTATAACACCCTTTTAATGATATGTTTTTCCAATCTATGACCACGGAGTATCAAGGCTAATGGCTTGCAATTGGTAAAGTATTTAACCTTATAAAGAGATCAATCATTAAAAGTTTAGTAGCTTGGACAGCTTCTTCCTTTCAGGTGAGGAGCACATTCTCGGGGAGGTATGGCTGGCAGAGGTGCTGACCGGTGTCTCCAAGTAGCCTCGGGTCTATGCCAAGGCCGCCCCCGCCGGTGGCGGTTTTTAGCGGTTTTCCATCACATCTGGCAGAATGGCGGGAGTACCTCCCGCTTTTTCAGTCCTTCGGTACAGTCATTGTAGCTCTCTAAAGGGCGCAACTGGTGGGCCTTCGTGCCTCACCCCTACAGAAAAGGTGATTTTAGATAAGCGGTTTAATAAGCCTTAAGAAGACAGGCCGTAGTATGCCAGTGCTAAAAAAAAAAATAAGTAAATAAAGAGCATTAAAGTTCTTTTAAATAAAACTGTATGAGTGAGCGAGCATGGACATGGTCCTACTAACGAATGAGTTAAAAAATATTAAAAAATTAACGGTTTTTTTAATTTTTCTATTTACTTATGATTCTACAATTTTTCTTTATTTTCAATAATATATTATCTCGAAGTTAGTAACCTGTTAAATTCCAAAAAATTAACTACTTTTAATACTCTAAACCATTTTAATCATATATAGTACCTACTCAGTCTACTAGTAATAAACTCTAGGTTTTGGCAGGTATAACGTTTTTCTAAAATTTTATACATATATAAGTTTCTATGGAAATAACTCCAGGTGTAATTTAGAGATTACGCCTTACAGGGTTTTTTAAATTAATTCTACAGTTATCTACTATATAGTTATAGAATTCTTTTATTTCCACCGCTGCTATAGATCAAGTTTTTAAAGATACCTCTAATATGTTCACTAACTCTCGCTGCTGGTTGACCTAAGCCACTGAGAATTTCCTAGCTTGGACTAAAAAAATTTTCACCAGAATATTTTCCCTTACATTTTAAATATTATTTATCTATACGTAGAACACACACACAGAAGGAGAGCTTTATAAAAAGATAATTATTCGATCCTTAAGAGTCAGTTATTAAAATTAAGCCCTTGAGCTTTGGAATTCTTGTACACTAAGTTTGCTTGGAGGAACCTTAGCTCAAGTTTTTGCCAATAGATAGTGACTAGCAATTTTTTGCACTCTTACATAATAGTGAACAAAAAGGTTTAAAATAAAATAATTTACTGTCAATAAAAATATTTGTCGCGCACACGGGGATGCTATTAAGTTATATTATCGGAATATATAAAAGATAAGCAAATCGTTTACCTCATAATTTATATCTCATTTTTTCTAAAAAGGTAATATTTATTTAACAGGGTGTTATAAAATTAATTGAACCTTTTAGCTTTATAAATTGTTGTACTTGGCTTGTCCTGTGCATAGTGCTAGGAGCACAACAAAATTAATTTTATGAGCCTAATGCATCGGTTTCATCTTACCATAAGATGTTTAAATTAATAAAAAATTGTGTCCATGTGAGGGGAAGGTGAAAGTAACTGCATTCACTTTGTCTCTTTACAACCGCATAAGGTGAATCTCTTTACTGTCTTATTTATATTCATAGCAGTACTTAACAGACATTATAAAAGAATATAAATGTAATATATTTTTTATTATAAAAAGCTTTGTCTGCTACAATAGTAAATAAGGAATCATATTTGATTCAAAGAATTTACCAGCTCTTTAATCTTTTAGCCCGATCAGCTATTTATATTTATAAAGCAATCACGTAAACTAATTTTATTATCTAATAACTTAACAACTTAAGATGGAAGTGTCCTTGATATATTAGCGAGTTAATTTAAAAGTAAACCTTCCAAATTTTACCAGTTGCTAGCCATTCGTTTATTTATAAAATCACGGTATAGCTTTTAATAATCCAGCGCTTTTTGTTCCACTGGCGCCTCTTTTATAATTTAATTTCTTGGCTAGTGGTCCAGAATTCGTAAATTTCCAGTAATAACTTTGTTTTCCAGAATTGCTCCTGGAAGATCAAATCGAAAGTCAATTAAAGTTTCACTAACAAGTCGCACGAAGACCAGAAGGGATGTCGATGCGCTCGCCGTGATTGGCGACAATAATGACTGTCCCCTTCAAGACCACGTCGAACCCAAAGGTCACGTCTCCTGTCTTAAAAATAACTTGGGTAACCAGCGCACGCACACTGAAGCAAGAGTTATTAACCACAGTCAAGTGGTCCAGCTCTATAATATTTGGAATGTTCGGGATGCGCTGCAAAAAGTGCTGGACATTCTTGAAATGTTCTTCCCCAAGTTTGATTAACGGTACTTCTGGAAACGGCCGTTCCTTAGAAATAGAGTATTTAGTAACACCACCCGCCAGAAACTAAAAGGTTTCTCTGTACAGGATTCATAAGCAATCCCCCATGTTTTAAAGAATAGAGGTTCGACTTAACCAGGAGAAGATCAGAGGTTGTCTTAACCGGCAAGAAGCGACTGCGAGGGACGTTGATCCCTATTTATAGTGCATGCCACGCTGTAGCTCTCATACTACTTCACCCAAACTACCTTTAGCAGTATTGAAGTACTTTATACTGGCGCCTACAGCCGTCTCCAGCTGTATGATTTTCTGGTTTCCTTTGACCCTCTAAAAAATCATTTATCAAAAGGCGCCGCAGCGAGTGCAATGCCAGGTAAACAACCTTCTCGTTAACGATGATGTCCAAGTCGAAATCGTCTTTAGCTAACACTCTAACAGAACTAGCTTTAAAGAGGAGAAAAAAAGGATAAATGCTGGGAGAAGTGTTTACCTCTTTATTGCTTTCAGCTTCAACCATAAATTGTTGGTGTTGAAAATTCTAAACTTTTTTATAGACTTGAACTCGTCTACCTGTTCGACCCAACGTGTTTGCCTTTAAAATTATTAAAGACGCGCCACAATACGTGATTTTTCGGGACTTGTGCAAGTTCAAGAAGCTGACTATGCCCTTCGTAACTGATCAGAGTCCCACCTTTGACATCCGCCATTGTCTTGTTGGTAACTTCCATAAGAAATTCGCCTGTGAGGATATAATAAATGAAAGTTTATCTTTCTATTTTTGTAAATAAATAAATTATACAATCACTGTTGGCCAAATAATTTAAGATTTTAAGATCGACCGTCGCCCCGAGGTTATCGATGTTGGAAATAAATATATACTCTTTATCTGTTTAAATTATCATATAAAAAACGATGAATAGTGATAGACAGTAAACCCTCTTTTAAAAAAGAGTCCAGTAGCCCTGAATATTTCAAAGCAAAGTAAATGTCTCCGTGGCCGGGAGGATACCTTCAACGATACAACTTTAACTGCATGCCAACAACGAAATAGAAGTAGAAAGGAACCACTCAGAGTCATCCTCTTCATAATCGCTCGCACAGGGTAGTAACGTTTCTTTATCAATACGGGGATAGCGAGCTTGATTAAAAGTTAATATTTGAACCAAGGCTCCCTTATACTTTCCGATTATTCTAATAAAAAATTTAGGAGAGGGAGGTACTACTTCAATTTGGATAGTTCAGAGGATAAACCTTTCAGTTTCTTCATGAGTGTTAAAGGAGTTCATCAACACTAGAGGAACGTTGCAATTGTAAGTATAGTTTAACCACTTCACCTGCTGAACTGTAAGATCCAGAAAGGTCATCTCTTCTCGAACTTCGATCGCGGATTTGGGGCCAGTGCAGCCCATAGTCGTTCCTGAAGCCATTATAGTGACTCCTCTTAACTTATTTATGGAACTGAGGCGGAAACGAAGTTTTAACATACTTCTTATTAAAGTAGAAACTGAAACATAGTCCAACTAAAAACTTACAAAAACTGTCATACGACTCTCTAAGGCTTTAAAAAAAAAAATAAAACAAAAACCCACTAATCTCTAAAAATTCCTTCATTACTTCCATTTTTTTATATATTAGAAATTTTTTTTTATGTAATTAACTTGGAAATAAACAGTTTATCGGCGTCTACTGATATTGTTACTTAAGTCTGTGTTACCTAAACCTCCGTTAAGCTTAACAACTACTAGTTTATTTAGCATTTCAGTAGCTCTTTCTAGTGGCGGATCATCAAGACTTTCATGGTTGTGAACCTTACATTTTTTTTAAGTTAATCTTTAATAGTAAACAAATTTCTAGAAAAAAAATTGTTTTAAATAAGAGCATCACGGTTTAAAAAAAAGCGTTTTTGTAATAACCCATAAATTTTAAACGAGAAACAATATTAAAGTTCTATTAAAGATTTTTATACAAGTCCTTGTTCAGGGGGTTGAATTTTCCTCCAGTCAATCTTGGAATCTTGCAAGACCAAAAAACGATGGTACAACTCTTCAAATCTTTTTAGCTCCAAGGCAACTTCCTTAATAAAAAATAATTATTTGTGTAATGAATTATATTTAAGTATTCTAAAAATCTACTATGCCTCTTTATTTTTGGCCGTTTCTATAAGCTTCGATATATGAAGTGATAGACACTCAAGAGCTGAGCTCCTGGTTATAGCCTTAAAGTCGCTCAGACTGTCTTTTCTTTTAATCTTTCCCATAATATCTCAATAGAAGATTTTATTGTAAACGTCTGTAGTGACCTTTTTTAATAATAATAAAAAATAGTTCGTCTCTTTAAACACTCTCGGTTCTTGAATTTTATATAAGGTTATACAAAAACCGCTCGTTTCCCTTGAAAAGCAGATATGTTAAAGGCTCGTGAAGAAAAGAGATCACGTAAAGGTGTAACTTTACTATTTTTTAAAACCTAAAAACTTTCGTAATTATCTTATTCCCTATTCCAGTAACATTGAAAAAAGCTTGACTCTTTATACGCTTAGAGTACAAAGGAAGGACCAATATATTGCTAAAAAGGGTGTGGAGTTGCATTTATTTTGTAAAAGTGTTTTCTCTTAACAACAAATGAAATGCTCATAAAAATTCAGTTTCAGAATAAAAAAATGATAAATATGTTTTTTATTGAAACTAAATAGCAATATGAAATCTTACATATAATAAAAACTGTTTTTTATTGGTCAAGAGTTGAAAAGCATTCTTAGATAAATATCAAACGCACATGTTTAGCAAATAAAAATTAACTAAAGGGTTCCATTTGCTCTTCTCATTTAATCACAAAAGCCATTTTCCTTAACACAATTGAAAAATTGAACATCAAACTAGAATACTGTTTGATAAAACTTTTTTTTCACAAGTTGTGAAGATAAAAACTTTGTTAATAATTTATACAAAAAACTCATTTATTTACCTTAATATTACCTGTTACCTTATGAAAACTATTAACTTTTATTTCGGTTTTAGATGCCTTACCATAACAACGGCTAAAAGTAGATAAATTACTCTAAATTCTCGCGATTAATGGTAAAATTATGGAAATAAATAAATGTCTTGTCGTATTTTACCACGGGAGCAGTATAATATTAATGTACAATAATAAACTTATTTTGGATGATTTAAATCTACTGTGCAAAATTATAAACATACCAGGCTTGTTCTTGCTAGCTCTCCTTTTACCATATATTTAAATTGTTTATTGTAGTCTAAAAATTACATAAGGTTCTTACTAAACTTCATTGTCGACCTAGAGTTTTTAAGTATATCACAAAGTCCTAAAGTGCATGGATAAGGTGACTTTTTAAAATAGTAATTTTTCAGAGTGGAGAAATAGAGAAAAAAAAGTAAAAATACGAAAAAAACCTATATATACACTCAATTTCTATTTGCTTCTATAATTATATAAGATTGCAATATTAAAAGTATTTAAGAAGTTAAAACCAAATATTATAGTAACTTTATCAAAGCATATACTTTTAAATTGCTAGTCTAAGTTCAAATAGATAAAAAAAAAAGTAGTTAGTTATTTTAGAGCTCTGAAAATAATCCCTTAATAGAAAAAGGTCGTACCAAGAATTGAAAATTTTTCGTTGCCATGGGCAAAGTTGTGCTACATGTATAAAAGTTGGGCATTTTTTAATAAAGCCAACTTTTTAAATTCTCCATAACGGATTTTTTTTTTTTATTAGGCTCGCCTATAACTCCTTGTTCTATATAGGATTTAGCGTTAAAGCTGTCATGATGAACTAAAAAACAGCGGAGTAATAATTAAGCGGGGGCCATGTTCTTGTGTGGTGGCAAAACACTAAAAACTACTGTTGGGGGAGGAGGCCCAGAAAGAAGACCCCGCAGCTATTGATTACCAGCTAGCATGTTGCCAGCCAGTTTCTTCAGTTTCATGCAACCAATCAGAGGAGAAAGCCCTTCTATAGACGCTTCTATCAGAGTATATTTTGTAACTCAGCAGCACTTAACAATTGTTATTTTTTAAGGAAAAAAAAAGAGGATCTACGAATGCTATTCCTTTATAAATTTGACATGTTATTATAAGAGTGAATAATTATAATAAAAAAAACAATTTAAAAGTCATACTAGGTTTTACTTTTCCATCAATAAGGGTGGATGAAAAATAAATATAATAGCCCACGCGTAACAACCTAGTATATGTTAGACGCGGTCATTAAAAGAGTTTACATATATACGAGAGCTGCAATACATTATTTTATATAAAAATTAATAAATATGTTGTTGAACATATAATTAACCTTGAAAAAAATTTGAGACCGCATGCATAAACAAGTTACAAGTGTTACTATTTTTAACGAATCACTGTAGTTAGGTAACAACACTAGTCGTATAGACATTACAAAAAAAAGGAAAGGACATTAAAGCCGCAATATATATTTATTCAGTGACAAAGGCCAATCAAGTTTTTGAAAAAGTTGACTATAAAAATATAGTTTAAATCGATTTATTATATTTTTTTTTAATCTACAATACCTTAAAAATTAGATTGTAATGTAATTCTAAACTAAGTTCAAGTAATGTGTCCACTTAGAGAGACTTTTCTCTAAGTGTTAACTGTGGTGAACTCCAAACAATTTCGGAAAAGCTTGTCTTTGAATGTTTAATATAAATTTGGTAAACAAAAGTTTAGCCTTCCTTAGTGGCCCTAACATATTTTAGTTGTCAAATATTGATATATTTGGCCTGCTTCTAGGAAAATGTTTTCCTTTTAACCAAAAACTTTAGGGGCTAAGTACATAATTACTATGTTTTTCTTTTTTAATCGCAGATTACTTCCCCTTCACTAGTGCATCAAGTTTTTATCGGGCTCCCGAAAGACATAGAAGTCTGAATATCCTCTAACAATTTTTCGATATTTTACCTCCTCTTTTTTTTATTTTACTAGAATTTATACCAGAAGATTCAGCTTATTAAACTCTCTGAATCTTGAGCCAAAAACAACTTTTGTTCCCCTTTTACAATTGAAAAAATTGTTTGCGCTCTCAAAAAATTTTATTGTACTGCTTTTATCTATACAATATATAGCATTATAGCTTCTGATTTCTACTGCAAAAGGGCCTTAAACACTGTTGCTGTCCACCCTATCTTTAATTTTTTAATATAGAACCTCTTTTGTGGAAAGCTAGGAAAATTAAAATTAAAGACTTTTAAATTTTAAAAACTTTACGTTACCATTGTTATAACTAAGGAGATTGTAGAAAGCTGAGAAACTAACAAACTAAACGACACTTAATTTTTTAACTTTGTATTTAAACTGAATGAGGATCTCATCCGCATATAATAGCAGATAGCGAACAATGCATCTAAATCTTCCTTCCCAAACAGTCAAGATTTTATTAAGGGTTCACATTTTCTTTAACCATAAATTATTAAAGTGATATTTCCTGGAAGCTAAAGTAGTTGGCACCAAGAAGTACAGCAATTCTAGATATTTAGGTTTTTTTCGAGTGGCTGCTTCGTTCCTTATAAGCTATAAACTCTTGGAGCAAGATTAAAATTACTAAGTTCTACGAACTTTTCTTTTTCAACAATTTCTATATGAAATATTTAAATTATTAGACTGTCTAAAATATTTAAAAAATTGGACTTGTCTCTAAGTCTGGCGCCCCATCTCGAAGGTTAAGCGAAAAAAAAAAGGGTACAGTTCAAAAAGTCGCAGCTTTAACTTATTTTACAACTGTCCTTATATATAAGGTAAACTATAACAGCCTTTTACAGAGATACGAGGAGATATAAGTGTGTGTATTATAAAAATGATAAGTTTATTATATCATACTTCGCAATGGCAAGAGAAAACTTTAAGGGTTGTTTGTCATAAAAGACTTGAGACGCTCACCTTCCAAGGGTTGCATCTCCACTACAGTGATTTCTTAAAATATTAAGATGAATAAAAGTCTTTATAACCCGATAAACGCAGTAACCTCTACGCCCTTGACTCAGCACAGACCTTATAGATAGCACAAACTTAAACGCTTCAAACAAATGTGTGTACTTTAGAATAGTCCGCTTCTTATAATCTTTTTCCAAAAAGTCTGGCGCCTAAATATGTATACAACGCGCATATAAAATTAAAAAAAAAATATGACATAAACTTTTATGAGAGATAGCAACTTCAATTTTAAGAAGTTCTTTAGCTGCAGAATTTCCAATTCTACAATTCAGAGTTCCGAGTTGATCAGAAATGCTGAGTCGAAATCTGTAAGTGCAAGGCTCTATTACATATTAGAGCTGTCTCAAAAAAGAGTCTTAAACAAAGGCTACCTCTTGACGCCTCCTCTGTTATAGGTACGTGACCTCCTCTAATTATTTTAAGATCAGAGACTTTAAAAATTCTGTCAAAGATAAAATCTACCCAGTTACTATTGTAACGGAGGGATCGTCAATAGGAAAGAGTGTCAGGAGGCCATCGAGAACAACAGACCCCTCCTATAATTTTTCGGGAGGGCGAGAAGCGGCTTAAGTTTCTAAAAAAAAGTACATAATACGGATCACGCAATTGCTCCAGAAGAAAGGCAGTATTTACTGCTTGAAGTTCGCCATCTTTGAACATATTAGAAATAAAAAGTTTCATATATTTTTTAATTATAAAAAAAAAAGCAGAAGAATGTTCACAACCTTTTGAAAACTTCGAGGTAATTTCCTTAGCATAACGCCGTAATAACAAAGCTTCCTCAATATCTTAATAAAAAAATCAAAAGAGAGCTGGAATGAAAAGGCAAAGAAAAAAGGTACCAGGAGACTCAATTATTACAGTTTTTGCTGTTTTTTTAAGGTGCAGTCTAGTATTACGAATAACCTCAAAGCAAAAATGACTTTACGAGTCAGCGAAAGTGCCAAAGCAACATTTCGCGCCCTTACCACTCGAACGTCCGTCAGAAAGAGGACTAATTAGTAAAACCAAAGGTAAGATGATAAGTTTATATTGGAAAAGCTCATACCAGTTTCATGAGGTGCCCAGGATGCTGCATAGTTAACAACGTCCTCCCCAAACCTATAACCAATTTAAAAGTTATGACAAATAATGGATATGCGGTCGGAGAAAGCTTACAAACAAAAACTGACGGGGCCATAGCTGTCGTCATAGAGATAAACAGTGCAAAGAGAAGAGCCTGTACGGCCGCATTGCTTTGGGGTGCCAATACTTTAAAGGCAGAAGACTAGAATAGGGCACGCTTGGGATGTAAAGCTGCGGCAACCTTGAGACTAACAATAAAAGATTGACTTCCTGCCCATCAAAACCCTTAACTTTTTTTTTTAATAAAGCAATAAGGAAAGTAAAAGCAGAGTTGAAGTATGCAACTGTGTCTATGTAAAAGATGAGCAGTGTTATGGAATAGTACGAATTTTTCTAAACATACATATTTAAATTATTTTCTGATGCTATTTAAAAATTTTAATCAGGACACAAGCAATGATAAGTACTATAAAAAGTTAAAGGCAACAAAAAGTTACCGTCCTCTATTAGATCGGCAAGCTTAAAAAAGTCTGAATTGAAAGGAAGCGGTTGGTTGAGAAGGGGTCTTAGAACTTATTAAATTGTTTATTTAATAATTTTATAATGATTAAAACTCAAAAGAAATTACTTTGATAAAAAGATTGATAACCTTCCTTTTCAGTCAAGTTATTAAAAACTGAAGTAGGCCTTATCGCTAGTTCAAAATTTCTATTATTATAATACAATAGATAATTGGCGCTCCTGCGACAGTAGAGCACGGAGCAACTTGTTAGCGTAGGGGGAATAATCATCGCTTTTCTTAGGGACTACTTGTGCTCTTTGAAGATCGATGAGAGAACCAATCTATACCTAATACCTAAGAACGAAGGAAAAGTACTACTAGTTTTACAAAAAAGCAGATGCCTCAAAGATTTGTAGCCAGCTTTTTATATTAGCTTTATCATCCCACTTAAAAACATAAATGACGTCTTCAAATGAGTCACGTAGAAGGAACCCGGTCTTGCATATTTCAGTGCCATCTAATAATCAAAGGGGAACAAGGAGAAAGACGCATCGCCTTAATTTCGATACAGAAGTTTAAATTTAAAAATGCTCTCTATATACTTGCTGCAACCAAATTTAATTAATCGTAGCTGTTTTGGATAATTAAGGATTATGTGTTTCCTTAACCTTCTACTTAGAAAATAACGAGTTAAATTTAACTAATTCCATTTTAAACAGCCTCTACCGCTTTTTAAAACTTCTACAACTTAGTGAAACATTCGGGATTTAGAGACCTACAGTCATTTTTTTTAAACGGTTGCCCCTTGTTTAAGAACTCCATCACCTTTAGATTTTTTATCAGCAAACCCAAATTGTTCGTTTTAAGGGTCCAAATTATTGGTAGCCTATTAATAAAAGAAACCTTTTTTGTTTATAATTTTCAAGTCTTCCTTTGTGATAACAATTCCAATTACAGTCTTTATTTTTAATTAGTAATTAATAAAAAAAAGTAAGCAGAAATAATTTAAGGGACTACTCACTACAAAACTTTGAAGTGGCGTTATCTGAGCAATTGGTGTTGCTGTCAAATCTAAATTAGGGGTACGAAAGTTGGTATTTTTTCTTAAAGAGCTCTTGTTAAACATTCTCAGTAATTTAAAAATTCAGTACGTGCTGTTAAGGTTGAATGAACTATGAAGAAGAAAAAAGAAAGTAAAAACTTAAAAAAAAATTAATGACCACTGGCCTTATATGAGACCCGTTCATTAAAAACACAGATGCCAATTTCTGAAGGGGTCAATATAATTTTGGCGCAACAATATTTGTGGACTGCTGGAAACTTAATGTAATTAAGTAGGACCAGAAAAGGGATGTTTAGTAAAAGTTCTTTTTGATATTCCTTTTTAATAATTTTCGTTTACTTTATAATGCTAATCTTACAGGTTTCAGCATCAAATTTAATATAGTATAAACAATAAACTAAAGCAGTAATACATAATAATAGACAAAAAAATATAAAATATAGTTAAAGTTTAAAGGCCAATAGTCTTTTGTTTTCTTTCCCTTAAGCCACTTAAGTAGCTCTCCATCCACCGCGCACACTACCCTTTAACAGCTTGCTATTTAGGGTTATGCTTACCGCTCAATTTTTCTATTTTTTAACGGTCATCTCTATAAATCAAAGATAATCCTAGATAGTTCTGTTACTCATCATCATATCAATATTCTTAGTAGAATACATTTATAAGCTCCTTTTTGGTCTACCCGGTGCTTACTTTACACAAAATTATTTTCTTATGTATGCCATAGTGTTTAATAAACAAGAATTAGTTAAATCTTTTGAAAAAAAACTTGATGTAGTTTATTTTATAATGAAATACTCTGAACAAAAGCCTTACGCCTTATGAGAACGTAAATGGTCATAGAATTGTTCGTTAAAATTATATTACCATATTAACTTGCTAAAACTTCATATTTTACAAGCTGTGTCTTTGTGGGTGTGTTAGTGTACTTATTAGTAACACAATGTTTAATTCCTTGGACTTCCTTTTTTTCCTCAGAAAGAGATAAAATTGGGTATATAGTTTTCCTTGATGGCAGTTTGGGGCGTTCAATAATAGTAGATTTCCTATAATTAGACGATGAAGGAACGCTGGGATCTCTACTATTCTGATTTTTGTTGCGACGGTGTATGTGAGTAGTAAATATGTTATTTAAATTATATTACGAACGCTTAAAAAATACCTTAGAGTATAATGTTAGAATAGGCGTACGATCACTGTAAGCCAGTCGGTAAGACACTTCATTGGGATCAATCCAAATAACTAAGGCTGACGGAAGTAACAGGTTAACTCTCGCTATGTTACATAGAGAAGCAGCGCGTTCAAGTGTAGGGTCCATTCTTGAATCTAAGCGAATGCAGCGGTTCCCTGCATGATAAGATCAGACTATAAAATGATTAATTAATATAGATATTTAAGCTTGCTAAACTTTAGTAAAAAGGAATTCAAGTGTAATAATCGGCAGAAAATTTAACGAAAGTAAAATACTAAGCAGCGTAAAGGCTTTGGGGTTTAAAACGCTATTACTGATAAGAAATGCATAAAGACAAACCAGATCCCCTCCAAGGTTGATTTTCAATCCAACAATTTTCTGTTACAAATTTTTCAAGAAGAAGATTTTTAATACAGGTCGCAAATTCTAAAGCCTATAAATGATTTATAAATAGACAACAGAAAGTTTACTATATATATTATGTTACTTAAAAAATATTTTACTTTTTTTTCCTCTAATTTATTAGCAAAAAAAGAATGAAGAAAATCTACGGCAGCATCAACTTCTTTCTTCATGTTAGTATCATTTACTGTGGGTACTAGTAGAGATATACAACTAAGTCCCTCTACGCAAGCGAAAACTTAACCGCCTGACTGACTAAAAGTTTTTCCTTTTATATATAAAGGTCGGCTTAAGATCTAAAAATTTAGTATCCCTCTTTAGGTGCATAAACTTAAAGTTTACAGTAGGTTAGCCAAAGTGGTATCTACTGCGTCCGATAAACTTTTATCCGTTTAGGCAAACTTTATTATTCCACCAGTAATTACGCGTCTTTAATGTGGTAAAAACTTCTTTTTACGATAGCAAATAATTAAACCAGTAAAAATGCAGTGTTAAACCTTAAATAACTTTACAATTGATTAAAGATAAAAATCGTCTAACAAGGCTCTACTACTTGATTTACTAAATTACGATAAATTTTAATTTTGTTTTGTTAACAGGATAAGGCAACTTTACATATATTTTGAATTTCAGCATGAGTAATAATTTTTTATAGTTAACTTAAAAATTATTATTTGGTGAATCTGAGTTTATTATAGTTTCTTCTTCTATACAAGTATGGATGAGGTATATTAAATTTTACTTTACTTTTTGATTCAACTGTATAGCCTAATCGGGTATATGCTTAGACTCACGAATCATATTTATTTTTTGTTTATTTAACGGCAAATTAGAATACTCATTAAAAACGTAAAATCTTCATGTAGAATTAGCATGATAAACTGAAGTAGGCGATACTATTTTGCTTTAAGTTAACGGTTTTATTAAAATAAAAAGCATATAAGACCATTTATTTTAAACCTTACCAGAATAATTCTCTCCACTAAATTTATTATATGCTAATGGTTTTGTATAAAGTACTAATCTCTATGAGGTAAACTATAATTTATTGCCTTTTTATGCTAATCCAGATAGTTTTATTATTTATTTTCTTGTAAAAGGGACGACGATACCAATGACAGTTTAGCTTTTTCTTTTGTGATAAGGCTTCGTTCAAGTACAAAAAGCTGGAGAAAGAGCGTTTAGTCGTGACTGCATTGCCACTTTTGAATTTAAAAACCTGAGGTGAAGTTGACTAGATAATTTTTGCGTGTTTTAAAGAGAATAAGTATATAGTATGACCTCGCTTAGGAGAGTATAATTTTGCAAAAAAGATAAGTTATTCGCAAGACAATCAGAATTACTAGTTTCTATGGACTCTTAACTATTAAGTCCACACATAACAAACCTCTAGGGAGGCTATTAAAAAAATTCTAAAAGGTTAATAAAAAAATAAAAAATAAAAAAATGCTTGGAAAAAGGATTATGAATGTTTGAAAATGTAGAGTTTGCCTAAAGAAAGCCCTATTAAAAAACTAGCACCTTAAGTAGTTGTTAGCGACTTGCGGGAGCAGGAGATTTATTTTAGTATCGTAATAGACTAACGCGGTATTTGCCTCCTATTAACTAACGTTTCTAAAACTTACAAAAATATTACATTTTTTTTTTTTAATATAAGCAAGTTGGCCAAGCTGAGCACAAAAGCGAACTGGTTAGAAGAAGCAAACAAAAAATTAGATTATATCTTCCTATATGCTAATATAATTGCCGATTTACTTACAAAATTACTAAAAAGGGTATATAAAGGAAAGAATGTCGTATCCCAGAAAGGACAATGTAATATATTTTAAAAGGTCTTGAACGTTAAATGTATGCCAAAAGTTTGCTAATAAGCCTTACTTAAAACGTGAGGTGTTATCGAGCTTATACAGAGTATGACTAGAGGAGTTATCCTAAGTTATACAGGGAAAAAACACTAGCAGTATATAATTATTACTAAGACCCAAGAAATATACACTATCAAAAAATCGTTATAAATATCACGTTAGAAGAAAATTTTAATAAACATTAACTTTTTGGGGGTAACAATCAATTGTCTTATAAAGTGCAGTTAGTTATTTAATACTGCCCACTATAAATGTAAAACCAAATTGTAAGAAGGACTAGTCAAAGAAAACGAAATTAATAATAGAATTTAGAAGTTAAGCCTAAAAAATAAATTTTTTGAAAAATTTAGTGCGAGATGTACAATGAAACCATAAAATTATTATAAATAGTTGTAAAATCTGTTGCTATTAAGCTTACTGTTATTGTAAACTTAGCCGTAAAAAATAAAATTTCAATTAAAATTTTAGAGTTTAGCCATAGTAGCTAGACTGTTTAAACGCCATAAGAAAATAAGTTGGGTTTCATAAGGCAGACATATTTATTGAAGATAAGAAGATTAGTTAAAATTTGAAAAAAAAAGATGTTCTAGACCGCATGGTTATCAAAAATGTAATAATATATGATTTAAAAAATTTAAAGAAAATAAATCGTGTACAAATATATATTATATATCAAGTGC